ATTATACTAGTCGAGCTAACGCTAACCGGATTGGTAGGCGGTAGACAGGTAGAGCTTGATTAGCTAAAAGTTATTCACTTAGCTCATAAGCACGGACAAAACGAGCTAACCAACCGGCAGGCACCCTTTAAGCTCTCACACCTAGCCAAAGCGCGGTAGACATGCTCTAATAGCCCCATCTGGGTTTGATGGAATCCGTGATGAGTCACCCTGAATCACAGAAAGCGCGCATATGAAAGAGGTAGGATGGCGGGTGGGAAGTCTCCTTCATTCTCCTTCAGCATGAACCTTGTTGCTCCCAAACATGCCCCTTCAACTGACTCCTCTCCCGCGAGACGAATGGGAGACATACTTTCGCCTGGCATGGACCGCTTTCAGCCCCGGCATCATGGAAGCAATGGTGAGTCGGGACTCCAACCGGGGCAGTGCACCGCTGAGCCTTGACAGTATCCCAATGGATACTCCGATGAAGCTGTGCAACAGAGTCTTGCCGCTCTCAAGCGCAGGGCAGACCGGCATCCCGAGCGATACTGGCTCTTCAAGGTCGAAGACACAGACCTCCCTGATGACGATCAACTCGGCAAGGCGGTGGGTGTCAGCCAATGGCAGATTTTCCCGAAAGAGAAGACCGATAAGGACGTGGAGAGGGAAGAGAAGGAAGGAGATGCGGATGATCAACAATTCCCATCGCCACCTGGTCGAAACACCCGGCTTGGAGATGCGTTCTCGAGTGCCAGCAATGCAAAGAAGGAGGAATATCTGGGAAGAAGGCCGCATGTCCTGTTGCAGGCGATCGGAACAAGACCAGGCTTCGAGCGAAGAGGCGTGGCCGGCTTGAGTTTGGCGTGGGGCACACGGAGGGCGGACGAGATGGGTCTGCCGGCATATCTCGAGGCGAGCGATAAGGGCGTGGAATTGTACAAGAGATGGGGATTTGAGGCGGTGGGACCCTTGCCCTTCGATGCGACGGAGTACGGCTACTCTGATCCCTTGAGGCACACGTGTATGCTGAGACCGTCGGGGATCAACAATGGCAGCTAGGACGTCGGGCTTTCTCTCTCGGCGCCTGCTCTCATGGACACCATGTCAACTTTCCCATCCGCTCCCAAGAACTCTCATCTAGTCTACTTTGAATCGGCAGCCTGAAGAAATTTGGGACCAGCAGGCAGTCGTGAAGGACTTCAGCGCCCAGCACATCAATATTATAAAGCCATGACGGGAGAGAACTGTTGCGGGCTACACGCGGACTATCTCCATACAGACCGCTCGCAAGCTTGCTTGCTCCTCGCTTGGGAGACATATACTCGAATCGATCTTACGGGGTTCTGTACCATTCAATGTTCTAGAACGTGGCCACTGCAGTGCTATGCTCCATGTCAAGGAGAAAGGTCTTCGTGGACACAGGCGTGGTGCGACAGGCTTTTTTCGCAAGAGTTCGTTTCTGCATTCAGCCGCCATCAAAGGACGAACTGTCCACAGACCGTCCACGGCCAGGCCATCACAGGTATATCTTCCACATTCGCTTCGACCCCAATGTTCCGGGAAGTGGCAGTGGCTTCAAATCTATTGTGGACTATTTCTGCGAAGAAGCACTCGAACTTGACTTGCGACGGCGGATGATATCGACAACGGGTCACCGACGGCTAACAAGGCTTGGGCTTCGCTCTTCGTCGTTTTACATGATGGGCAGTGTCAGGCTGCTGATACGCCAAACACCAGAAGTCTGCGAGGCCTCGTTGTGGTGTTCTAGTATCATACTGGCTAAACCTTGGTGGTAAGAAACTACCAGGGCGCGCTGGACCTCCTTCAAATGGGTGCAACTACAAGTACTCCTATCGATGGTTGATCTCATATCGCTCTGGTACCGAGAAAATAGTTAAACCAGCACACGTAGGCTACTAGGCGGCTCCTCCTAGATGGAACCTCGTCCGGTCTGTAGCGACAGCTTCGCCACACGCGAATCCCCAACAGATTATCTTCAGGGCGAACACGGCTCCTACGTACAGCGAGACGGCCAAAGCCTCACAGTCGGCAGCCAAAATGCCAGATTACTACGATAGGTGGAATCGGCCCTCACAGCATCTCGAAGCCGAGATCGCTCCCATAAGACTCGTCCTCCACAATTCAGACCTCACATCAAACTGACGTGTCTATCTGCAGTACTCCATCCAAGCAATAGGATATCTCTTCTGATTCAACTACCAAAGGCCATATCCACCAATCGCCATTGCTCTCATAGAGAGCCTGAGACGGGCTGGACGATCTTCTTCGACAACTTTTCCGAAGAGCTTGACGCTGCTTTGCTCGGGAGATTTCGCTTTGATTCTGCGGTTGCCTGGGGTTCTGGCTGCGCCTGTGAGTCCGGATCAGGTTCATGCTCAAGGCGTTCAGACTCTCTATGATGTCTATCCGCAAGTTATTTCTCATGTTGTTGGGGCTTTGGACGATGTTCTTCCGTTAATAAGGACATATAAACGCCGAAACAGGTGGCATCATCGTTGACGTAACGTCGCCTCTCAGTTTCCATGGCGAGGTTTGCGATTTCGACGAGGTGGAACAGGTCAATGCGGAAGATATGCTCAGGAATCTCGAGACATTCTCTGCAGTCGCGGAAGTCTCCCCTCCAGGTGCAAGGCGAGGTGACCATGATTGCTGATTGTGCACAGGGTGGCATACGACTAGACTCTGGGAGTCCTACCTGTCAGTGGGCAGTATTTCGACTTCTCATCCGGCCAATTCGAATAATTCAGTCGTCAACTCGTATAATCAGACCGGGGAGGTGTAGTATGGATTTAAAGGAGTACCGGGAGAAAATGCAGTGCACATATAGAGAAAGTCATGAACATCAGGGACATGTACAATCGAGATTTTCAGACACCATGTGAGGCAAGTAGATCTGAATGGTCTTTATAAGCTAACAGATATGCTAGTGATCCAAAGATACGGCTTCTGTTATGAACAGCTTCGGCATTTCCTGTCGGATTTCTGTCGATTTCTTGTCGATCTCGAGCAACAGAGACATGAAGATTACGAACGCAGTCCTTCTATCAAGCCCTCTGTGTAATGGTGCGCCAGACATGGTCCCAAAGTATAGCCAACCAGACCTGAAATAGCAGAAACCACGTCTCCTTTGGCTTGCCAGTAGCGATCACGCCCAGAGCTTGATTGGCATACTGATCCGGTCTCCTCCCTAGCTCGTACAACGCTGCACCAAGATCCGCATAGCTGAGGACTGTTGGATGCGGACCGCCTGCGATGAGTTTATATCCCGTACACTCGACGCCGTCTGGATCGTGGAGAGTTGGTGGATCGGCATACACATATCGAAGTAACGGCTTGCCAGGTTTGGTGGGATGTTGGTCATCGCTGTCGTTGCCCTGGGCTGCCGCTTCATACAGCGCACACGCGCGGGAGATGTCGAGATATGTATGGTACAAGGCCCATTTGACGAAAGACACGACAGGCGCCGGCGTATGTCGAGCCATGTCGTCGTTGAGCGACGCCGTGCGAAGCTGGACAACGATTGGTGGTCGGTAAGCGTCGCCCTGCTCGCTCTGCATACTCCGGAGCGCGGTGACAATGGCGTTGGCTGTATCGTACACCAAGGACATGCCCGGCTTACTCTCGTTCGCTCCCACGCATGCGAAAATCGTCGATGCTCCGTAGCAACATCTTCGCAGAGTGCTCGCGTCGGTCGCTTGTCCTTCCAGAACTCGAATGCCGCTGCTCTCGGTTGGCAGCTCTGAGAACCGCTTGCGCAGTCTCGCTTCTGATCGCACGAGAATGTCCAACTTCAGATCTTGGGGAGGGTCGTTCAGGATGCTGCGCAGGACTGCTGAACCCGTGGCGCCGGTTGCTCCCAGGAGCACAAACTTGGGCATGTCGCGGTGTTGGAACCTGAGTAGTCGGGATTTCCGGTCAGTTTACTACGAGTTCGAAAGATCATAGGGCCAGGATGGTCTCTCATGGCCAGGATGTTCTCAGGTCTCATCGACCACGCTGCTTGTCGCCATCCGACCCTGAGGAGACCGGGCCCTTGAATGAGTTCCGACAGTTCTACTGGATGACGTATTCCCTGAATCCTTCCGAGTTCATGTTCTTCTCAACTCAGCCTCGCATTCTCGCAAGCTCGGGTCTCGGCAAGCCGCGCTGGAGATGGGATGTGCGGAGATAGGGGCATGCAACATTTAGGTCTATGGTGATTTGAGTAAGTGGAATGCGGGAAAACAGGGAGTACATGCACACTTCACGCTATGAACAATGAGATCGTGAGTCGGGTCCGAATTCTTCTGACATGCATCTTAAGGGAACTTCATCTTATCAAGGACACCTCACTGGAAATGGAATTGCGTTGATCGACAGTTCTGACCCTCTAGAGCTATCCGGCTGCACCACTCGTACGCCATGCTTCGTATTTCTAAGCCGCTCCATCGACTGGTATCGTCTTCCCGTTGATCCACTCTCCCTCCTCGCTTGCCAGGAAGCATACAACGCGCGCAATGTCTTCTGGACGACCAGGCCTGCTGAGAGGAGTGTCCGAAGCTGAGGCGAACTGAACTTGCACGTCAGCTATTGTCCGCAACACATCCAGATTATCACACTTCTAGCTTTACTTACCTCCTCAATCTCTTCATCTGACAGGTTCTGACCATTCGGAACGTACTTGCGGACCGTCTCGTGGAACATGTCGGTCACGGTAGCCCCGGGAGCCACAGCATTGACCGTGATCTTCTTTCGCCCGCAGTCTAGGGCCAAGCATCGGACGAACGACTCGACAGCACCTTTCGACCCGGCATAGATAGAGTGGTTCGGCACAATCTTGTCACGGGTAGTGTTGGAGCTCATGAGGATGATACGGCCCCCGGGCCCGAGGTGTTTGTACGCCTCTCTTGCCACGAAGAACTGTCCTCGAGTGTTGAGACGGAAGACACGATCAAATTCCTCCTGCGAGGTCACGAGATCAGCACATCTCAGTCTCCATCGCAGCGGCACCAAGCACGTACCTCCGTCACATCTTCCAAGTGTCCAAAAGACACCACACCAGAATTGGAGCAAACAATGTTGACCTCGCCAAAATGTTCGACCGCTTTCTCGAAGAGAGCAATGGTTTGGCTGACATCGCTCACGTCGGCCTGGATGGCGACAGCGTCGGCGCTACCACCAAACCCCCGGATCTGGTCCACGACCTTCTCTGCGGGAGCGTATGACTTGGAGTAATTGACCACAACTTTCGCCCCGCAGCGACCCAGTTCGACTGCCATCGCCGCACCAATGCCTCGCCCGGAACCAGTCACCAGGGCAACCTTTCCATCGAGACTGTATGGTCGTCTTTGCTGCTCTTGCCAAAGTGCTGCGGGAGACATCTTGATGAACAAGGGAAGAAGTGTGTGATGCTTGAGCGCTCGGAATCTGGTAGCGGCGTGGTTGCAAAGGGAAGTTCAATATGCAGCAGGGTTGAAAAGACACTTCGTAAAAATAAGTCCAAGAACTTTGATGTTCTGTTCTGACTTGTATGTAGTGCATGCCTCCGCGACGGAATGCGCAATTCCGACTGCCTTGCCCTATCCCGAGCTACTAGCTCGGAAGCCGATCATGTGAAAGCCAGCCGCACTAAGCACGGATGCTCCCGCCTCGGCCTCTTACCAGCATAGAAATATCGTCAGGTCCAACATGCGTTAATTTCGCGGCATGCAGCACTTCTAGACTGCCAGGAATCTGGAATCATGGGTGTACCTCAGCAGACCAAGTCTGGACGGACGAGGCCGTTCGAGATCTTGGCTTTGGGCCTGTCTCGCTCTGGCACAGACAGTCTTTGCAAAGCACTGGAGATATTGGGGTACCCATGTTATCACGGCTGGCGCACTCTCGATGAGCCGGAGCAGAGCGTCTTGTGGGCTCAAGCGATTGAGGGGAAGTACGAAAACAGGGGCCGACAATGGGAAGGCGAGGAAGACTTTGACCGGATTCTTGGTCCCTACACTGTTGGTTCCCCCGAGCGCCGAGAGTAGTCTATGGCGATTGGAAGCTGATAGTGTTCTGTTCTCATAGGCTTGCACGGATCTGCCATGCGCAATGTTCACGACCGAGCTCATTGATGCGTACCCCGATGCAAAGGTCATTCTGAATCTGCGGCCGCGAGAGGAATGGCATCGATCGATTGTCAAATCTGTCGATGCCAAGATGAAAAGCTGGACTGGATGGCTGATGTGCAAATTTGACATGGAGACGAGGTGGGAGCGCCCCGAATCTTGAGCGTCTCGGTCCCTACGTACTATGCGACTAACTTCTCACAGCAACATCAACCGCTGCTGGTCGAAAGCAAATGGCCATTATTTCCGCTGGGATCTCGCCCGCAACGGCAGACAGGTCTACGATGAGCATGCGGCATTGGTCAGAGGAGCAGCTCGAAACTCCCAATTTCTAGAGTACGATCCTCACCAAGGCTGGGAGCCACTGTGTGCTTTCTTGAACAAGCCAGTCCCCGAAACTCCCTTTCCGTCGGGAAATGTCGCAGAGGAGTTCCACTCGAGGATCGAGAACAGCATGAAGAGCCGTTTCATCCGTGCCATGCGCAACTTTGGAGGAGCTTGTCTTGTCGCGGCAGGAGGTGCTGTTTGTGGATACATGGCGTGGTCGTCCACACTAGATTACAGCGGTCCCCTATAAGCTTATAAGCTATAGTATGGGTAGATACAACTTGACACCTACCACGGTCTAACCAAAGCAACGTCTGTACCAAATTCACCTGCAGATCTCCGGTTTGGGGTGGGTACACAAAGATTGTCATTTGGCCGCACTTCCTCGGGCTGTTCAGTGCTCTGAATGTTAGAAATGCATCACTTATCCCGACATCCTGGAGGGTTTAACAGAATGTCCGACACCTTTCATTTTGTTGCCGGTGTCACGGTTCGAACGCCCAAAGCCATAGGCTTGCAGCTCCAGAAGGCTGCATTGGTCGAGCAGACAACGATTACGTGGCTCTGGATGTGAGAACATATCAAGCAGAAGGCGTCGCGAGGTCGACGACAATTCAGATCTAATGTGGCCTAATAAACGCAATGGATATATGATCTTGTATCTCCAGAAACTTAAACCATCGAAGGAATCGCATAGTTGCGAGCCAAAATCTCCCTCGCCGCTTGCGTGTCCTTGCCCTGCAGAGAAAGTGGGATATCCTTCTCAAACTTCTGCAGCTCACCCATGGTGTCCTTGAACTCGGGTATGTTATACACGGACAGGAACCATTTCGAGATGTTTGGGTAGTCGTTCCACCATGATCCGTGGAAGACCTGATAGCCACAGCCGACGAAACTGGCGAGGAGGAGATCGGCAATAGTGACAGACTGGCCGACTAGATATGGCTTTTCTGCGAGATGCGCCTCCATCATATCGAGCTCTCGTAACATCATCCGTCCGCAGTCGTTGGCGAGGCAGTGAATCTCGGTCTTGAAGTCCTTCATGATCGGATGCAGAGCGCCACCCATCGCCAGGAGGAATTCCGAGTTGGCGAAGGACAGCCATTGTTGCACGGAAAAGTACTCCTGTTGATTTGCACCGAGGAAGTTCTTCTTCTCTTGATACTTCGTAGCGACTAGGAACCGTCAGCCTCTCAGTTCGTATTTCGAAGTGCTCATGATGCTGATCATGGAGTCTACTACGTCGCAAGTGGGCAGGAACTAACTGTAAGTAAGAATCGCGCAACATTCCTTGAGAACGAAACCATCCCCGTCCACGAATGTCGGTATCTTTCCCAAGGGGTTCAAGGACAGGTAGCTGGCATCCGCGTCCTCGGAGCCGTTGATGTGTTTGAGTTCAACGTCCAGCTTCAGCGTCTTGGCAAGAACGCGGACCGCAATAGATCTCGGCTTGAACTAAAGGCATTCAAGTCAGAAACTGTACCGAGGAGAAACGTTGTGCAATTTTCGCGACATACCCAGTTGTAGTAAATCGTACCGTCCGCCATCTTCACTCGCTCCGTGGATCAATGCTTTCGAGTGTTATTTTGATGCGACTACAATAGAGCTTGAGTCCCGATAGAATGAGTATTCTGAAAGCGGACTCACCATAGAATAAGTCTTTACATGTGCTTCGACGTCAGCTCGGAGATCGGCTCGGAAAGTCGAAAGTCGGGATTCGCTTTAGGGATTACTAATCCTCTGCATGTGATCGGAATGATGCACTAGGTTCAGCCATCTGCACCCGACATTTTTCCGAAGGTGTGCCTAGCATTCTTGGGACCAACGATGCAGCCAAATACTCGAGGAGCATTACTTCAATGCTTCTCTGGTTATGACGTTGATGGGTAAGCTCTGCTTGAATGTTCGAGGTCGACCCAGAGGTATCCTGAGCACTATGCCGGGTACAGGATGAGACAGCATTTCAACGAGCCCTTGGAGTTTCCTCTCGAGCGATGGTCAGGTGCGGAGGAGTACAGTGGCGACCATCTGGACGTGGCAGAGGTACGCTCCTGATTCGTATGTCTGGTTGGCAACATTGTGTGCTCCGTTTCTCCTGCCGTTGTCTGTGGGCCCACGAAACTTCTGAGGAAAGGTAGACGCTTGTATCACCGTCCACAACCCAGCAATGGTCTCGCTAATGGCACCATCCACCACCTTGCTTGGCATGCAATGCGCTTGTTACTATTTTGTGTCATGCTGCGTTTCGACGTTGACCTGAGGGAAGAGTCAGGCCTAAGCCTGGGATGAACAAAAGGTGTACGCACTCTTGGAGAAGCATCTTTTGATGTGATCTGCGGTACCAGCGCAGAGGTTTTCCAGTGGCGACTTGGTATTATGTCCATAGACAAAGACGTCAGAGTTTACCTAGTAGCCATTGCAGCAAAGATATCCGCTAGCTGCTTGGCAACTCCCCGTCACGAGACTGCCACTGAGTGCACGTTGCGGTCGACATCAGCCTCTCCGAAAGCCTCATCTGCGACCTGACAAGGTGCCCTAGAGGATCTCTATGCTGTAATGGTAGCTAGAGGATCAAGCCAACGACTGCTTGACCCCGGCTCCCTCACGAGCCACGTGGTCTCGGAAAGGAGGCTGAAATGTTCCAATGCCGAGCTCGGACACCGGTTGCTTAGGAGCAGCACGCCTACCTTCGCTAGTCCGCCGTCTCCGAGGCACATAGGCATAACTGTTGCATTGTGTTGTTCTGACCGCGTTCTGTACGAACCATAACGATCGCCGTCATGCCGAGCTACGCCGTGCTAGGAGCCACTGGAAACACAGGCCTTTCCTTAATCAAGGTCCTCTTGAAGTCCCCCGAAAATGAGATCAAGGCCTATTGTCGATCACGAGCGAAGCTGCTCAAGCAATGTCCGCCGCTGGCCGCCCGCGAGAACGCTCAGATCTTCGAAGGACCTCTGAGCCGGAGCGAGATTCTTGCAGAATGTCTCCGTGGCACCCGAGCAGCATTCCTAGCAGTCGCTCAATCTGAGAACGTTCCGAATTGCACAGTCGCTCGCGATACCGCATACAGTACGATCGCTGCTCTCAAGATCCTGGAAAGGGAGAAGACGGCCCTGCCAAAACTTGTAATACTCTCGTCCGCATCGCTGGAGCCCAAGTTCTGTGGAGATGTCCCGGGATGGGTGCACACCATGCTCTACTATGCTGCCTCGCACGTCTACAAGGACCTGGAACAGGCTGAGGTCATGCTGCGATCTGAGCAGAATTGGATCACCGATAGCACTTGGGTCAAGCCGGGAGGACTGACGCACGATACACAAAAGGGCCATACGGTCAGCAAAGACCACGCTGTTACGCCTCTGAGCTTTCTGGATCTTGCGGCCGGGATGGTCGAGGTGGCGAATGATGAGTCGGGAACGTATGCCATGAGCAATGTGTCGATCAATCCCACATCGAACAAGGTGGCATTCCCATGGAACGCCCCCATGGCGCTGGTCAGAGGCTTGCTGTTCCACTTCTTCCCGTGGTCGTACAGTGTTTTCGGTTGAAGTCGTACGAGACGAATGCGTCTAGAGATATTTGGAGCCGCTGGGATGTTTGTAGAGAGTCATGTATGCGTAACGACCGGGATATCACGCAGTAGTGCCTAGGTGTGGCTGTATTGTTGATATCTTTGAATGCTAATCAATTGCGATGGGTAACGCTAGACAGCTAGTCTCGCTAAAGAGATTTACAAATAAGCTTTTCCTTGCACACTTTATTTCCTATATCCGGATTATGGATCAAGCCTAATCTACCTAATATGAGGCCTAGATAGAGTACTCTTCATACTAAGTACTCGTCCGTATCTATACGATTACTAGCTGGGAGTAAGACTTAGCTACTGTATTACGTTACGGTATAGAGTGTATAAGAGGCTAATATAACATTAGCGTAGGTCATCGTCTACAGCTACTTTTCTTAGGTCTACCGAACAGTAGATAACCTATAGTCTAAGAAGCTAGAAATAGAGTAGTGTATAGAGTAGACAGACAGGTGATACTAGCTGCCAATATATTGTGCAAAAAGGGCTGTATAATGATCTAGAACTTTTGATAATTTCCGCGAAGTAGACGGGGCATAAGCTTCTTCCACTAACTACTGTCTCTTGTCAGCACGCTTCTTACCATGCAGCGGATTTTGTGACATGGAAGAGCTCGACAAGATTGTGCTCAGCCCAGTACGCACGGTACCGCTTTCCATAGACAAAGACCACAGCGCCCGACGCGACGACACCCAACGAGATGCCTCCAAACACATCGAACACCTCTGCTGGGCCGGCCGAAGCAGTCCACGAGCTGACGAAATAGCTAAAGCCGAAGAAGGCTAGGTTCTTGAACACCATGCTCACCACGAAGATCTCGTCACTCAGGCCGCCGAAAGCGTCCAGCGCGTAGGCGTACAGGCTGTCGTTGGCCGTCACCTCGCCGAACATAGCCAAGGCTTGCATCGTGGCGGTAATGTAGTAGCTCTTCCCGTCTTGGGCCAGCCTTCCGAATCCTAGGAGACCACCGCCGACCAGTACGCCAGCGATGAGACCCAGAAGTCGGTACTCGGGCTCATAGATTCCCGCGTTTCGCCTGGAGCAGTACCTGACGATTGGGTCCATGAGCATGGCGAAAGCTATCGAGCCGAGAACTCCGCCAATGAACGGACCGAGAAAGAGGTAGCCGATTCCCGCCGCGTTCAGCAGGTACGGCGGAGCTGCAAAGATCTGGGCCATCAACGACGCTGTATGCTATCAGCCATGTTGCATCACAACTGAGACTCCTCCAGACACGGAGTCGTTACTCACCCTGCACGACGTACGTCGCCGTCAAGAAGGCGGACACGAGGACAGACCAGAAGACCGCGAGGTTCATGCAGACCGCAAACGGGCCCACCAGGAGCTGGACGAGGTTTTCCTTGCAATAGGTCTCATTGAAAACGGCCAGTCCGCGCCAGAAAGAATTCTTGGGAGCGTCTTGGGAAGACCACTCAGACGCTTGGAGCCCCTCTTCCGAATCACTAGAGGTTGCCTTGTCCTTCTGAACCGACCCGGTAACCACTTCCCCCGATGTGTCTGTATCAGAGCAAGACGTAGTTGATGAATTCCCAGAACGGTGGTATTGCGTTTCCGGCACGAACAAAACCAGGAGGATCAGCTGGCACGCGCTAAATGCAATGCACAAGTAGAAGAGGTACCTCCAGCCCAGTTTGTATGTGATGGGTCCACAGACAGTTGGAGCCAGGTTTGCTACGACAGCCAGTACGAACCCGACTATGGCCACATAGAATCCCCGCTCATGCACAAAATACAGATCGCCAAGCATCGAGGCGATCAGGGATTCGTAGGCCGTCATGGACACACCCTGAATGAGTCTTGCCGCGAGGAAGCCGTCAAAACTTGTGGCTGTTGCGCCAACGATCGAGCCTGTGAGTCCGAAGATTGACGAGAGGATGAACACTGGGCGTTTCCCGAACTTTCGCGCAGCTGCCGAAACAAAAGGTCCGAGAGCACCGGCAATAAGCAGTTGCCAGGCGCTTGTTCTGATGATGTCCTGTAGAGGGCGTTGAAGGTCTGCAGCCACCTGCACATTTCCGGCGTCTAGCAGTCGTCCATATACAGCTGCGTAGAGACATGCTCCGAAGCCAACGATCAATGTCGCCGTCAACTTCTTCAGCGGGTGCCAGTTCAGAGGCTCGTTGAAGTCGTCGGAGGGCTGCGGTGCAAGGACAATGTGTGCATACTTCCCGTTGCCATGCTTCAGATGAATGGTTTCTTCCAAGGAGATGTCGCTGGCAGGACGTTCATCCAGCTTCAAAGTCCCGGGTACGCCGGTGGATACCGTCTCCAAGATGCCAAGAAAACCCATGGCTGGTGAGATAAAAGGATATTAATGCCTGAGATACACTGCGATGTGGCCGCATGCATCGTGTCCTCAAACCTTTTGAATGAGGACCTATGGTCTCAGCGACGTCCGACTTGCGTAGTCGGCCTCGCCAGCTGCCCATCGGATGCTGCTGATGGAACTAAGTTTTGTGACTGGAGATCTTCGAATGCAACATCGGACTCCGAGATTGTCTGCGATACCAGTGAAGCCTTTGGACGGACACTGAGGTTGCCATATCCGACCCTTTGCATAGGATTCCATGGGATTCTTTGCACGTGGAAGAATCGAGTCGTGCGGAAAGCAATATCCAAGGGTCCGATACGCAGGTCTCTGATAACATCGTCCTCAATGTTGCCACTGTAAGGCGTTCCGTCTCGCTTGCACAGCATCCAGATCAACGTTGTGGTATGCTTACTCTGGAGAAATTGCGCTGGAGCTTTGCTATTCTACATGATTCGAAGCCTTTGTATGGTCGTTCCGCAGACCACTTGAAAGCGCTCACGAATCTCCTCCTCAAAGTGACTCAACATGCTTTCTGACAACTGCGAAGTCCCGACGCTGTCCCCATTGCAGACTTCGAAAGGACTGGTTGAGGACCATGTCTCTTCACTCGCCCTCCGACTCCGACTACCCATGGCGCTTTGTTGCGTTCTCCTCTCCCCCGAGCGGCTCTCCAGAAGCTTCATCAGGCGTTGCACCTGATGCAGCTCTGTCATCACATCTTGTGCCGCTCTGCGCTCTGCGCCTTCTGTTCTTTCCCCAGCAGCAGGATGGGGGTGTGATAGAATGGCTTCGCCGGTCACGTAGCCACACGACTGGCTCCGTTGCGCGTGCATAGCCGGACGTGTCAATAAGCGAAGGGATCCTAGTGATGGTGAAGATATCAGGCTTGATGATGCTGTCGTCGATAGAGATGCTGATGACGATGCTGCGGACGAGAAACCGAGTTCCGGTGCGTTGCCTGCTGACCGATTGATGCCCGATGCTGCCGCTGAGTACCAAGCCAGCAGCTTCATTAACACCAAACTGATTATCGACGCCAGGTACCCATCTGTAGAGCAGTCGCAAGCCAATATTGATGTGGTTGCGTCGATGACCTCCCGATTCCGCTGCAAGACTGCATCTCTAGCAACAGGCAGGGGCTTTTCTCGGCAGAGTGAAAGGAGAAGCTTCATCGCTTTCGCCATGCAGCTGGACGATCCTGGCTCGCCTTGAGTAGTGCATGCTGGTGTGTCTTTTACAACCTGGTTTTGCATTGGGGCCACGGGAGCAATTGGCGCCCGGGTATGGTATAGCATTTCCGAGTTTCCTTCCCTCGAAGGCTCCGTCGGCCAGTTTGGTAGACTGATCAGATCCGGGGGTATTGTCATGTCCTTGTGGGAGGCCTGATCAATGGAGCCTAGCTGATGTGGGAGAGTAGCAAAGTCGTCGAGGTCGTGCCCATGTGGTACCTGTTCTGACCAATTCGGTATAGATGCAGACACAAGGTCGGCGAATGCCTTTTCGTCCAATGTCGTTATCGGCACCGAGGTATCAAACTCGTCCAGGACATCTGCGGACGCGTTCGACATCCAGGCGAATGTCTCGACGCTGCTGTCGTCATTGTTGCTTGCGGCACCTCTTGCTGTTGCTCCCATGTGTTCTGAGGTATCGCTGACGGAAGATGCCTTGATACTAGCTCGACCCGACCTTCTGGACGGGGCATACACGCAAGGGCGTCTGCGGCGGACGCACTAACACGGAGTGTCAGAGAGACTTGTTCTAGCGTTGACCGGGAGGACATGTCATATGAGCAGTGACTTACTCGCTGGCAGGCTGGCTTCTCACGTGTGCACTTGACCTTGCTCTGTGCACAGCCTGTACAACTGTCCTTGAGCTTGCTTGACGTCGCGGAGTAGTGCTCTGTTGACCTGGGAAAGGTCTGTGTGGCGGTAGAGGTGGAGCCACCGCTGATACGTGGCGAATGGGCCATGGAGGTCACACGTGGAAGACAGGTCGGAGTCTGCACCGGTTCACGTGGCTCTCGCGTTGTTGAGACGGGGAATCGCTCTGAAGAAATGTCCGTATATATTGATCAGAGGGCCAGTTGCTCTTTGCGCCATGAGCACATCCACACATCCGATAGCGGTCGATCCCGCTCATGTAGGAACATATAAGTTTCGACGCCGAGCACTTTCCCCAGCTACATGGATACCTATATACAGGGAGTGGAACTTAGACTTTCTTCTAAGGTACGGAGCTAGGAAAGCCTGTGGAGAACTTTAGCTTGAGCTGAAGCAGGGGCTCTGCACTTAATATGGCTCCCCGATGGATGTAGCAGACAGTGTCGATAAATATAACTTCATTCCACTCGTCCAGGGTTGATTTTCCACCATTCAATCCGTGTTGTGTCTGACCGCTGAATCTAAGGCATTCGAGTATCAACACTTATGTTCAGTAAGCAACCGAGAGCTAGTTTATGTAGTAGTCCACCTTACGAAGCGGACTACTTACGGCCTCTCTCCACGCTACACGGCCACGTGGCTGACGATCCTAGCTGTGCTAAGGCTCAGGTGCTCTGCGCATGTTGGTTGGATCTGTGGGGGACCGGAAAGACTTGCGCACCCACTGAGGTGAGGAGAATCTATGCGGCGAAGGAATGATGCTTGACCGGACTCCGATTAGCATCTCAAACTTGCACGCTTTCATTGGTCTCCTGGTCGGAATCCGGTCCTTTCAGCCTCTTGCTAGTCGACCTTTCCATCCTTCGCTGAAGCCTCTAACCCCAGCATTGATGACGTAGCCAAAGGAGCCGCTTAAGCCACTACCCGGTACACGTGGCCAACAGCATTAGCGCGTTCCACCTGCAGGCGTTCAAGTACGAGCTGTGCGAGCCGTGTCATCACGATCTCACTCCACAAAAACCAACAGTATCGAAGGAGCATCCTTCTTGCGTAAGGGCCATCTTCGCCTGATTAGGTCTAGTGTTCTGGAACTTATGTACAAGCGGCTCCTGCACCGGCAAAGCCCCACTGATAAACAGCATAGGTCTGAGGTAGCCACCAAGGAGTCCTCGAACCGAATCCCTGATTTGTGCGAGCAACAAGACGACCTTCCAGTGTTACTTGCTATGCCTGCCTAATGCGACCTAGAACACCCCTCGTCCTCCTCCTACCGGCCGAGGAATTCCAATTCCAATGCCGTTCCGCGCTTGCTGAAGCTCTCTAGGGCTCGGTTTCGATCTTCACTCCTGAGTACTGAGCTATATGCGGCATTCTCGGCATCCTCACACGCTCCAGCCGCTGCCCGCAGCGCCGCCTTCGTTGCAAGGGGTCCGCCTGAAGCTATCTCCTTCGCCAGTGACACGCCGGCGTCCAAAGTCGAGCGTCTCAGGGATTCAGCATCGTCTGCGTGGCCGTCGCCCACTTCAACAGTACGGGTTGACAGCCCCATCTGTCCTGCCTCTTTGCTACCGACCCGACGGCCCGTCAAGATCATATCCAGAGCGTGGCATGCTCCAACCACTTGTTGCAGACGAAAGGTGCCGCCCGCCCCTGGTATGATGGCCAATCGTGTCTCTGGTAGGCCGACAACGGCATTGCTTGAGAATACGCGAAAGTTGCAGCAGAGCGCGAGCTCCAACCCACCTCCAAGCGCATAACCCGAGACGCAGGCGATGGTGGGGATCGGGAGGCTCGTCAACGAGGAGAAGACCCGGCGAATGTGGCTTAAGAAGCTCTGAGTGCTCTCAGTATCCATTTGACTTCTCTCCTTCAGGTCTGCACCTGCGCAAAAGACCTCGTTCAGCGAGCTGGCGATGATGACCGCGCGAACGTCATTTGTCTCAGCTTCCTGATGCAAGTCGTCAAGCAACTCCTCTAACTCGACGACCATCTGCTTTGAGATAGCATTTCTGGCTGCTGGTCGCTGAAGCTCGACGATCACGATGTGGCCGAGGTGAGGTGCGTCAATTCGATGACACGCCAATGTTTCCAGACAGTCTTGCTGGCTGAGACGACGACGAGGTTTCACAGTGGATGGTGGAGACTGCGGCGTGTTGTTTTGCTCGACACGAAAGAGGCATGATTGTAGAGCTTTGCTGCTGAGAAAGGTCGACCGTAACCAGGGCAGGTGCTTGGAGATTTCCTCAATCATCTTCGAACGACAAATGGGCCAATCCAAAAGCTCAAGACAGGTCGAATGGCAATATCCCGGGTTGAAAAAATCCAAGTGGTACTAGAACTTTGTGCTCCAAGCCGGATCACGAAACCAATGCTGAGCAGAAGACAATGCTCCAGATGCAGCGCTCACCACTGCAGTTAGTCGCAAAAACTCCAGTATGCGGCACTCTCAGACGTCGGACGTCGGATACCAGGAGAAATGTCCACGGCCGAGATTCTTTTCTCGGTAGTCCGACTTGACGACCGCAAGTCGGAATCCTACAACCTGGCTCGAGCGGTCGCTAACTTCACGGGACCCTCTACATCTTACATTCGTCCGAGATGCTACAATGACAGCAAAGACATACTTTGATTCTACAGAAGGCAACACGATCCAAGTTTGAAAGTCATCAGCTTTGCGGATCCTAAGTCACCCTATCAAGAATCTGTTGCTTTATCATTCACCACCACAAACAACGATGTCGCGGGCATCCGGTGTCGGCATCAAAGCCATTGAGCTTTATGTTCCAAATCAGGTACGCTTTGGTCCCACGTCAAGCGCATACAAGCTAACTATCATTCAACAGTGCGTCGAGCAACATGAGCTTGAAGAGTTCGATGGCGTCAGCAGGGGCAAATATACTATTGGATTGGGCCAGACCAAGATGGCCTTCTGCGATGATAGAGAAGGTCTGTTACGACGGCTGCACAAAATATGTGAGTGTAGAAAGGCTGACAAAAGCCGGAACAGACATATACTCGCTGGCCCTGACAGCCGTCTCGTCACTGATGCGGAAGAACAACATCCACCCTTGTTCAATCGGTCGTCTTGAAGTCGGAACAGAGAGCTTGCTCGACAAATCGAAGTCGGTCAAGACAGTCCTGATGCAGCTTTTCGAGCCCTACAACACCGACATCGAGGGCGTGGACACATACAACGCTTGCTACGGCGGCACCAATGCATTCCTCAACGCTATCAACTGGGTTGAGTCTTCATCCTGGGATGGACGTGATGCTATTGTGGTAGCCGGCGACATTGCAGCTTATAAGAAAGCAACGATAAGAGCCACTGGTAGTGCAGGCTGCGTCGCCATGCTCGTCGGTCCGGACGCACCGCTCGTAGTTGAATCGGGGCTGCGCGGCAGTCATTTCCGCCACACCTATGACTTCTACAAGGCCGACTTTTCCACTGAATATCCCGACCTTGACGGCCCCCTCTCTGTCAAATGCTACAACGAAGCCCTAGAAGCCTGCTACAGGATCTATCAGTACAAATTGAAGCGACAAGAATCGACTCACGATGCCCCATTGCCGTTCAGCATTCAGCCGCCTGAGTGCACCGAAGTTAAGTTGCCAGACTCAGGCTTGGGTACTCCGGAAATGAAACCGGAGGACTACAACAACAGCATCATGAATGAATCGCTGCCTCCAGGCGATCCCGTCTCCCTGCCAGTCGAATCCTTCGACTACATGTGCTTCCACGCACCGACCACGAAGATCGTACGCAAGGCGTACTCCCGCCTCTTTTACAACGACTACCGAACCCACGTCCACCACTCACTATACGACAGCGCGCGAGCTCAGCTCTCCAAAGTCGAATGCGAGTCGGGCCTCCAGGAGACCGACATGGAGGTCTTCACCAATCTTGCGGCATCGCATTTCAAGGAGCGAGTGGATCCGTCTATTTTCGTACCTTCTCAATGCGGAAATATGTACACGGCCAGCGTGTGGTCGGCGCTCTGCGGCTTGCTCACCCTGGTCGAGCCCTCAAATCTCCAGGGCAAACGCATCGGCATGTTCAGCTATGGCAGCGGGTTCGCGAGTACCATGTTCAGTCTGCGTGTGGCGGGGAATACGCAGAAGCTGCGGGAGAGCCTCAACTTGCTCCAGCTGTTGAAAAACAGGAGGACGGCTTCCCCCAAAGCGTGCGAGGAGGTAAGATCACACCATCGCGCTGTTCAAGTTGCACGTTCCCACTGACATGTTCTCCTCACCTGCACAGGCCCTCACTCGCCGCGCGCAGGCGTACCAGAAGAAACCGTACCAGCCGTACGGGAGTCTCTACTACCTCAGACCCGGCACCTACTACCTGGAAAGTGTCGACGAAATGTCCCGTCGATCCTATGCGGTCAAGTCGTAGCTCTGAAGCTTCGTTGGTGGCTTGGTCCGGATGGAGGGAGGAGAATGTTATAAGGAAATGAGTACAGTGCCATTCTCTCGTTCAATGACCTTCTTACTGGTCATTCCAAACTTGTCGGGGTCGGTGGAGTTTATATGCTGAGAACACCGAGCTACCACGCGTCGATATAAATTGCAATGCATTCAGTGAAGAGAAATGAGTTGCACCGATGCTTCCTCAGCGGACAGGCGCCGCCTTGGCTATTGACCTTCAGCGCTGTGAGGAAATGTCTTCCACGCCTGGCTCTCTGACTCGACGAGCGTCCTTGCATGCTGGCCCTGTACAGGACGTGTCCGCTACCTCTTGTACTAACCGTACCGGTTGAGCCACAGTTGCCTCGATGGTACGAAACTTTCTACCTCTGCACTAGCTGCAATGTGATTTCGACGCATCGTCTCATTTACCCGTCTGTCCCTCCTCACGCGATCAACAACTTCTTGCCAGGACATTCTCCTGCGAAGCAAATCATTTTTCCAGACGCACTCTCTGGTCGGACTTGCTCTCGTGCCTTATGTCGGCTTCCGACCGGCTGACTCCTAGGCCGCGAACATGCCGCGTGTGTTCGTTGGGGCACACAAGCATAGCTGCGCATCTCGAGACGCTGCGCGTGGAACTGAATTGACAGAAGTTGCAGACGTTGTTGCGTCAAATATGCGATTTTATAGCGGTGTTGATCATAGAAAGGAGGATAGGTGGTATTGTGATGTTTAGAGAACTTAAGAAGAAAAAGCTACAGAAATTGATCAGACCACAGACCGGGAATCAGGCATATTCCATTGTGAGGCTTGAACACTCTGTCGTATACGAACATCCAATACACGCAACCCCAGCGAAATCTTTCTGCTAACCCATAACACGGTCGATCAAGCCGCGCACTTGTTGAACATAATCCTTGGTCTACAATCAAGTTAGCGTCGTCTCCCGTCTCAAGTAGTCGGTCTTCAAACTTACCATCAACGTGAAATGATTCGCTCCGTCCGCCTTGACGATGTCGAACTCCGCACCGGGGCAGACAGTATCCCAGCCGTCAGGGCCGAAATCCTGTCTCTTCTGGATCATGAAGTGCATTCCCTTCATCTTCGGCGCGTCGGCCTCATCCATCACCGTCTCAGTCGCCCAGATGAGTCCGACCTTGGGCATGCGGTCCGTCTTCAGTGGGGCGACTCGGTAGTCCAGCATGACATCCACAACGGCCATAAAGTGCGGGATCAGGTACGGAGGTGGCTCGCTGGCGGAAGAGCCGGGCTGGTTCTCGAAAAGCCCGACACAATTGCAGTGCTTGTAGAATTCCACGGGTAGCTTCTCCATTACTTGCGGCACGGGTGCGTCAATGATGATGATCGATTGCACCTCGTCGCCTTGATTGATCAGCGCTTCAGCCGTCACATACGCGAATGCTCCGCCTGAAGACCAGCCGCCAAGGTGATACGGGCCTTCTGGCTGTCGACGGCGGATCTCGTTGATGAAAGACTGGATCATGGCTGTGTGCGTGCATGTCATGTCCTCTGGTGTGCGTGCGTATGGGCAGTTCAGGCCCACGACAGCGACGTCGGACCGCAGGCGCGGAATCGTGGCGTACGAAGACGCGGAGCCGCCACCATCTGGAAGCATGAACAGAGTCTTTTTGGCGATCTTGGGGCGTCCCTGGAGCACGACGGAGGTCGTTGGTTTGCAATAATCGTTCAGCTCCAAGACTGGCTTGGGCTCGCCCTCCTCGTCTTCGTCGGAAACCCCCGTGTCACTTGTTTCGCTGCCACTAGAGTGGGCAGAGCTGTCTATGTCGGCGCTTTCCTCGGACGTAGTCGAGCTGCTGTCTGGCGTCGGCTTAGCATCGCCGCCAAGGAAGGCCCTGAGCTCCACAACAGACGAGACATCGTTGAAAAGGGAGAAGTCGCTGTCAAGATCCAGATCCAGCTCTTCGCGGAATCTCGAGCTGATGACCATTGAGCAAAGACTGTCGATGCCAATGTCGGCGAAAGCGGTATCCTCTGTAAGATCGTCGATTGCAACACCTGACTCCTCGGCGATAATGGTCAACGCTGACTGGAAAGCAGCAGTATCGTCGGCAGAGGCTACTGGCTTTGTGGACAGGCGGGCAGCTGGCTCGGCAGACTCCTGCGGATGCTGGTCGTTTTCCTGCAAGACCGACTCCACCGCGGCATTCACAACGTCCTCCTCCTTAAGCTCAGGAACAGTAGGAGATGCAACCGTTACTGTCTGCACGTCCGCCTCAGCAGCAGTTTGCCTGGAGCCGCCAAGGAAGGTCTTGAGTGCCTCAACGGTGGGACAATCAACGAACAGGGCAAACTCTGGAGCAAGATCCATGCTGAGATCTTCCCGTAATCTGCTGGTAATCGTGAGGGAGGACAGACTATCTATGCCCATGTCAACGAAGTTAGATTCTGCCATCGGTAATTAGTATCCGCTGCAGAAGATTGTAGGCTCTCCTGTACATACCATCCGTGAGCTCTTCGAGCGCGATACCGGACTCATCGGAGATGATCTTCAGTGTGTCGGTGAAGAGGGAATTTGCGGCAGGCCTTGCAATTGCAACAGGCTTCTGTGGCGGCGCTGCGGCGGGTGCAGCAGGTTTTGAAGCTGTCTTCGTCGCCAACTTTGACGGGGACGGCACTGGCTTGGAGGCTGGAGTTAGTGGAGCTGCGGTAGTCTTAACATTACCGAGTTTGCCGCCTCGTTGACGGATACCCTTGTCCATAGCAGCCTGCAAGACGGCACGCAATCCCTTGCGAGGTACCTTGCGAACGCAGAGCCCCTTGAAGAAGGCGGCAACGTTGTCTCCGTCAAGCACAATCGTGTCGCCGTGCACAAGATCACCGGTCTCGTCCTTGGTCATTTTGGTGTGGACCGTATAAGCCTTCCCCTTTTCCAAGGGTTCGAAGACTTGAAACGAACCCCATCCATGGTTTACGAACACCTCTTTTGCGATATCGGTGTCGTCTTTGGCGTTCACTAGACAGGCGTCAGTTGAATTCCCCTGAGACAACAGAGCAGGGCTTTGAGCCCTTCGCGATACTTACTGGCGAAGCCGCCGACCTGCGTGATGGCGTCGACATACGCTGGATGCACCGCATATGTTCCGGCGTCCGTACAGGTCGCGAAGTTCATGACTGCCATTGCCTCATTTTCCGTCTCGTCCAAAATGAGGTACTTCAGCAGCTTGTAGTCCGGATGGAAGTCGGCCATACTACTCATCAGCTTGTACCCGCTCTTCGTGTTGTAGTGGACCAGCTCTCCTCTTGCAACTCTCTCCTGCAGCTTGGATATGGCAGCCTTGTACTCGGGCACCCTCTTCTGGATGGATTTCAGGTTCGCATCCGTAGCAAAACGGACGGTACAGGTGGCATGCTCCGTGTCCAATTTGCCGTCCGCAGTGTATGTTGCAAATTTGACCTTGGCGCTGCGCACTGTTGCTGCAGCCTTGGGTGGCCACGACATACTGACTGTTGTGCGAAGAAGTTGAGGTGCCTGTCCATGCGGGATCAGAGCCTTGTCAACGACGAGGTCGCACACGTCGATCAAACCGTCAATAGCGTTGGAGTGACCGGCACGGATTCTATCCATTGCATACTTGCCGACCTGCATGGCAATATCGGCGTAGAAGGACGGAGTGCACAGGGGTATGCCATCAACAGTATGACCTTGCGCAATACTGTGTACGTCTTTCCGGGAGATGTCTGTCTCGACGACGAGAGTGGCTCCGAGCGGCTCCGTCTTCTCCTCCACTGTCTTGTGAAGCGTTGTGGTCGGAGTCACCGTAGGATAGGCCTCCTGAGCTGGATCAAGCTTGGACATCTTGCGTCCCGAATGAGCGACAGTAACACCGCCCGGGGCTACAATGTTTGCCTCAAAGTCATGCTTTCCTGGAATATAATTCGCCGTCAAATGAGAATCACAGCCAGGGTCAGCGCAATTGCAGTGAATCTTGTGTCGGTGCAGTACCCAGTCACCCTCGTAAGGAATGAAGTAGTCTTTGAGGTCCCATCCGTAGCTTGGAAGCTGGAGGACTGTCTTGGATGAGGGAAAGGGAGCGTGGTATGCGCTCCAGTTGATATCGATCCCTCCACAGTACAACGCCGATAGTAAGTTGGTGAAGTTGGGCCAGACATCAGTTTGCTGAGACAACGTGGGCAAGGCCGTGAGCTGAGAGCCGAGAGTTTTGCTCAGCATGCTGCAAAGAAGGGGCTTGGGCCCGATCTCAATGCAAATTGTCTTGTCGCTGATGATCGACTGTTCCTTCGCGTTCTGAAGTGCAGAAGTGAAGTCGACTGTTCCTCGACAGTGCTTCGCAAGATAACGAGGCCCGAAAGTGCCCCTTGCGCTCACTACCTCTGACAATAGAGGAGACAAAACAGGCAGTCTGGGTTCGTCGAACGTGACGCCACCAGCGAGAGCTTCGAAGCTTTCCAGAATTGGCTCTACCTGAGCCGAGTGGAAAGCGAAGGGAAGCCGTAGCAGAGTAGCCTTCATACCTCTCGTAGCGACGAGCTGTTGCACATTCTGGATAGCCTTTGAAGTGCCACTCAGTACTGTGTCCTCGGGCCCGTTGATGCAAGCAATTTCCACCTCGTTGTTCGCCACAAGCTCTGACAGAGACGTCGCCGAGGCCCTGACAGCAAGCATGGCATGTGTAGCCCGTTGGCACTTGTCCTGCAGCAACTTAGCCCTGAGACCAACCAAGTGGATGGTGTCGGCAGCAGACAGGACTCCGGCGGCGTAAAGAGCAGCATACTCGCCCAAGCTGTGACCAATGACCGAATTGGCTTTGATGCCGAAAGAGGTGAGCAAGTCAAACAGAGCCATCTGTAGACACGTAACAGCCAGCTGAACCGCCACAGGAGGGAGCGCTTCTACGTCGGCTCCGACGCCTTCACCTGTAAAAATCGGGAGGATGTCCTGGAAACCCAGGCTTTGCGCAAGTCGGCATAGTTCTCGCAAACCCGCACGGAAGCTCGGAAATGTTGCGTAGAGCTGCTTACCCATGCCGACGTATTGCGATCCTTGACCCGTGAAAGCGAACAAAACGTTGGGCTTGGCCTTCGGGCGAGTGGTGCCGCTTCCGTCGTCGATGGCCATTTGCAGCTTCGTCTCGATTTCTTTCAGAGAAGAGCCGATCACGCTGACACGGTGCAGATGGTGATATCTCCGTGCAGAGAGCGTGTACGACAATCGATTCAGCGGAATGGCCTTATGTTGGCGGACATGGGCAAGGAGGCTTTCCAGATTTTTCGTCATAGACTTGCCGACATGAGCGGAAACGGTCACAATGTGGCTAGACCTGGGGTCCACTTCCTCGACCGCTGCTCGCTCGGGAGCATCTTCGATGACGAGTGCGGTGTTTCCTCCCGCGGCACTGAAGTTGTTGATCAGCACACGGCGCTTCTCGCCCTTCTTCCGAGGCCAGAGCTGGGGCTGCGAGGCGATGTGAACGTTTCGTGCGCCAAGGTCTGGATAGTTGTGGTTAATCTTGCTGCCCGGCTTGATGCCGCAGTGGGGCGGAATGGTGTCGTTTTGCAGCATCAATAGGACCTTGATCAAGCTGGTGATGCCCGAAACACCTTCACCGTGGCCGATATTCGCCTTTGCCGAGCCGATGTATAGGGGAGATTCGGCGGTGCGATGTCCTGGCCTTGGCGCGAAGGTGCTAAGAACGCTTTCCATCTCTACGGCATCGCCGACTTGCGTGCCAGTGCCGTGCATCTCCACGTATCCAATGGATCTAGGATCAACCTGGCTCATGCGCAGAGTAGCAGACATGTTGTCGATTTGTGCTGGGGCGTACGGTCTGCACCGAAGTTAGTGATCACTTCAAATGACACACCGTGTGGGTTCATTCCAGGGGATCTTCTACTAACCGAGTCATCGAGTCGCTCATGGCAGAGTGGTTTGTCTGTGCGCCCAATATCGTGCCGATAATGGGATCTCCATCGGCTAAGGCGTCCTCCAGGCGTTTAAGGAAGACAGTGCCCACGCCTTCCGCGCGACAGTAGCCGTCAGCTTTGTCGTCGAAGGGTTTACAGTTGCCCGTTCGCGAGAGGAAGAAGCCCTTGTCGAGCCCAGCGTGGCCGTCGGGGGTAAAGATCATGTTTGTGCCACCTGCAACTGCCGTGTCGCAATCACCTCGCCAGAGTGAGTTGCATGCCAAGTGTATCGCAGCCAGCGAACTGCTGCAGGCGGTGTCGTTTGTGTAGCTTGAGAAGAGTCAGCCGTCGGTCCGGGATTCATGAGCGCACCTCGGCACCTTAGCCAAGCACTTACCTAGGACCGCTGAACTCGAAGCAAAAGTTAACACGACCTGGAATGAAGCCACGGTTACCACCAGTGATGAAATAGGTGTCGATATTCTGGGCCGTGTTTGTCTCCTGCTCAAATGTCAATATCATGCACTTCATGTGTCCTTTTCCGATACGTAGGTCATACCATCCAATCGTTCGACGTCACTCCGTGAAAGACACCAATTCGATTCCTCTGAGTCGAGGGAGTGGTGTCCGGCACGATACCGCCACGCTCCATGGCTTCGTAAGTGGACATCAATGCCATGCGCTGCGCTGGGTCCATTTGAGGTGCTTCTTTTGGCGAGATGCTAAAGAAGCGAGGATCGAAATCACCAGCGAAGTCCAGCCAGCAGCCCCATTTCGTTGCACCCTTATTTCTCGCCTTGCCACTCTCGTCGACATGCGTCTTGACGTCCCATCGGCGCTTCGGGACTTCCTTGACGACGTCAAGTCCTTTGTACAAGAGATCCCAGAATGTCTCGGTGCTTGGTGATTCTGGAAAGCGGCCAGACATCGAGACAACTGCGATCTTGCCCTTGTCTCCACTGGGTCGATGCGAAAATACATTTGTTGGAGATGACATCCTTTCTGACCTGACCTCTGATATGGCGGGTTTGAGCGCGGTAACAAGCGGGCGGTCCGCAGAAGAGCCCACTGCGATGACAGAAAGATCGGTCACTCCACGAGCTTGCAGGACCCACGGCAGATTTTCCTCTATGTAGCGGAGCTCAAGCGGCACCAGCAGACATTGGTCTACTGCTTGCTCCATCAATGTGCGGTAGTTGCTTGCCCAAGACAGAGTCCCAGTTGCGCCCGAGACCAGGGGGATCCTTGCACAGTACGATGACCATGTAGATGTAGGTGTGGTTTCAAGGATAGTTAGGATGTCGTCTTGTGTGAATAGACTTGACGTGTGGCTAGGTACGTGAACTGGAATCCTGGACGACTTGAGGTGTGCAAAGCCTGGTGCTGCTAAAAGCTGATCCAAAACTTGAGGAGGACCAGACACGGTGACAGACTGTGCACTGGAAGAGGCTACCCAAGGCTTTCTGCTTAGTGGGAGCAAGTTTGTCTTGCAGAACTCCTCGATGGCGGCGTCTGCGGCCGCAGCGTCCAACCCCTTGACGGCAGCAGACCAAGACCCTGAACGACCTGCCGCCGATGTCTCGATCCTGTCCCGCATCGCAAGGGCACAAAGACCGGTGCGCAAAGAGATGAGTACAGCTTGGACTGCCAGCGGCAGGAGCTCGGAAAGGGAGCTGCTCGCGCTGACTGCCGCGGCAGCTATCGAGCCTGTGCAGAGACCGAGCATATAGCTGTCGTCACCGTTCGGGTACGATTTTCCCGAGCTTTCAAACTCTCTGAGAATCTGTCAGTCGCTGTAACTGAAATTCGAGACAACTTAGCCCACCTGATGAAGGAGCCGAGATTGGCAACGCAAGACAGTGCCGTCTGAAACGGCGAGCTCATTTGGCCATCGGCATATCTCTGGACCATCTCGGCAAGGTTTGCCGTTCTCTGAGACTTGTGCTCTTGAGGTGGTAGTGCTTGTATCATGTGTGCTCGCAAGACATAATGACTTTGCTCAAGGAAAGCTGTAAGGACAGGATTGTTCTCGGCGGCAAGGAGGTCGCGCAACTTGGCGACAAAGTCTGCAGTCTGGTCTCCAAAGACGACTAGGCGAGTAGTAGGGGCCATGTTTGCGCTTCACCACGAGCGCAGAGTTGATCGAGGTTGACGAGAAAGAAACGAACGAGAAAGACGAAGGCTGAGATATGGGTGACTTAGCCGATCTCAACAGGATTTCTCCGGTATAATTGTTCTCGGCTTCCGCGTATCTAAGGTCGGACATGGCCAGCGCGAGCATCGGATACGCACGTGCAGTGGCTGTTCCGAGTGTCGTGGTGGATCCCGCAGGATATAGTAGCCTCGAGGATGCATCACGTGATCGGTGTCCGGACCCGATCGAGTGGAGTCCTAAGTGGATTTTAACAGATAAATCCATCTCAAGTATACCTCGCCAGCTACCGAATATTTTCGGAAGATCAGCTCATCAGTGAGAGGCTGTAATTTGTTGACTGGAAATGGCGACCGTCTTTGGTGGAGTGTTGACGATTGCAATTTCAGCTGCCGCAGTTGGCCTTGTTCTACTCTTCTCGATTGTTCTTCCAGCATTGTACAACGTCTTTCTTCACCCACTACGAAAGATTCCTGGCCCTCCATCATGGATCATCTTTCCACTACTGCGCCACTGGGCTGCCATCACTGGAACGCTAGACGAGCAATCTCGCCGTTTCCATGAGAAGTATGGAGATGTGGTCCGAACGCATCCAAACGAGCTTTCCTTCACGACCACCGCAGCGTGGAAGGACATCTACGGACCCCTCGCTAATCTTCCCAAAGTGATGGTATACGACGAGGAAGCCCGTAACGTCTTCAATGCCGAGCATCCCGAGGTGCACGGGCGAATGCGACGGGTACTAAATCCCATTTTCTCCGAGCGCGGTGCTCGTAGCCTGGAACCCACGGTCAAGTTATACGCTGACAAGCTTTTCGACTCATTGGCCAATTTTGCGCGGGAAGGTCGGTTCGTCGACTTGAGCATGTACTGGAACATGACTACCTTCGACATCATTGGGAGACTGGCTTTTGGCGAGGACTTCGATGGATTGAAGAATCAGCGAATACATCCCTGGGTGAAGAACATCTTCGACACGTTCAAAATCCTGCCACTCATCATTGCCATCAGCGAATATCCATTTCTCATGTGGCTGCTGAAGTCTTGCATGCCCCGAAGCGTGGCCGAGTCGAGAGAGAAGCATGTAGCGCAAAGCCACGATAAAGCACGCCGAAGGATGCAGAACGAGTCGTTGAAGGACAACGGTGACTTCATGGACACCATGCTGCAAGCCCGAGGCACCAAGGATGAATTCTCCGAAGGCGAGATCATGGCCAACGCCAATATCCTGATCATTGCCGGCTCGGAGACATCCGCAACGGCCTTATCTGGTCTTGTCTACTGGTTAATGCGGACGCCCAAGGTGTTGCAGGAAGTGACGGAGGAGGTCAGGCAAGCATTCGAGCGGGAGGACCAGATCACGATGGCATCGACGGCACAGCAAGTCCCGTACATGCTCGCGTGCATCCAGGAAGGTCTTCGGATCTATCCGCCCGGAGCTGGCAGTATCCAACGATTCGTACCCAGGACTGAGTCGCGGACGGTGGACGGCGTGGTGATCCCCGGAGGTACCAGACTCGGCGTCCACCATTCTGCCGCCTATACATCTGCTCGCCACTTCCACCGTCCCAAGGAGTTTATCCCAGAGCGCTGGCTCCCTGCGGCCTCGACGCCTGATTCTCCCTACTACTCGGACAATCGCGCCATGGTGCAGCCGTTCAGCGTGGGCCCACGCAACTGCATTGGCCAGACCTTCGCGCGCAACGAGATGCGCTACCTTCTTGCCCGTCTCTTGTTCCGCTTCGATCTGGTGCAGCTCGCGCCCGAGTGCCGGGAATGGCACCAGCAGCGTTCGTTCGTCATCTGGGAGAAGGGGCCGTTGCGCGTCCTACTGCGCGAAAGGGAATGGCAATAGCCTCGAGATTGCTAGCACAGCAGAAGTATCGATTTTGACAAGCACATGGAAGTACATAGTCCCCAAAATGGAGCTGAATGGCTCGATAGCTGTTACTGATGTTGATGTTTTCACAACGCCCGACGTGTGATTTCAGTGTGACTATTATCACGTGATCTGTATCATGTGACTATGTATCACGTCATTGATCTCGTGACCTTTTGCTTGGCGCTCAAGTACACACATGTACCTGACCTCCTACAAGTAACTCAACATGCCTTTCTCGAGATCCTGCGCATCACATCACGATCAATGAAGCGTGGCTATAAATGATGGCGTCGCGCTGCATCGTCAATCCCGCCGGCGTGATACATTTACTTATATCGATACGGTAGTATGTCCTGTCCGGTACCGCCACGTGATCGGGGCAGCGTAGAACTTGTAATAGCATACCGGCATCCGAATACTCAGGACACAACAGCAGACACGATGCAGCCGAGGCCACAGTCGGAGGCCACAGTCGGGGCCCACCGTCGGAGGCCACGGTTGGAGGCTACAGTGCAGTACAGGCACTCTCGCTTCAATTCCTCCTTTCGTAAGTCGCAATGCGCTGAACGCAGCCTCCAACGATGGTCGACCCTACCGCCAACCACTCTTCTGACGAGACTTCATCGATCTATCACTCATGCAAGTCACGCTCTCTGGACATGTCGAGCCCCTCGTCTTCGGACGTCGACATCAAAAAACTCTTACGCCCATCACTCAGCAATGGCGGTGACCAAGAGAATGACCAAGCTGAGCAACACGCTCGTCGCGCCGGCGTCGTCTTTCGCCATCTTACCGTTCTGGCTAAGGCCACGGCCGCCGTCGAGCAGGGTACAAGTGGCGATCTTATCTTGAGCCCTCTTCGAGCTCTCCGGCGCTTGGTTTCCACCCGCTGGTCGTCAAAGCAAGCCACACAACAGCCGCGAGCTCTGCTTGACGGTATCGATGGATGCATTCGGCCCCGAGAAATGCTCCTTGTGCTTGGTCGACCTGGCGCGGGCTGTTCCACCTTTCTGAAGGTGCTGGGCAACCATCGAGATGGTTACGCCGAAATCTCCGGATCATTGACATTTGGCGGCGTAGAAGGACGGGCGCTGAGTTCCGAAGAGAGTAGTGCTGTCACCTACAACCCTGAGGATGACTTGCATTTCCCGACGCTAAACGTAAAGCAGACCCTGAATTTTGCTATACAGAGCAAGACCAGACGCTCAGAGCGCCAGGACTACAGCTCGTATCTTCGCGAGACTCTGGATGGACTAGTGCGTTTATTCTGGATCCAGCACACGCTTTTTACAAAAGTTGGCAATGCTTATGTGCGAGGAATATCCGGTGGAGAAAGGAAACGAGTCACGATTGCGGAAGGGTTAGTGACCAAGTCCGCGGTCCAGATGTGGGATAATTCCACTCGAGGATTAGATTCAAGCAGCGCGCTGGAGTACATCGCCGCCCTTCGCTCTCTTACCGACGGTGCCGGAATCTCCACCGCTGTTGCCCTTTATCAAGCAGGCGAGACGTTGTACAAATACTTTGACAAGGTTATACTCTTAGACGAGGGCAAATGCCTATACTTCGGACCAGCATCAGAGGCACGCCAATACTTCGTGGACCTGGGCTTCCAGAGTCCTGAGACACTGACTACATCGGACTTCTTGATATCCATGGCGAATCCACACGAGAGGCGCGCTCGAACGGGTTTCGAAGACTGCATTCCGCGGACGCCCGAGCAATTCCGATCGCGATACCGCGAGAGTGATATTCGTGCCCGCAACCTGCTGGATATGGAGTCGCTTGAGACACAAATACAGACGCGCGATATGGATTCGCACAACGCCCCCGGGAAGGGACTGAAGCATGGACGTGCGAAGACGAGATACGCAGTGCCTTTCTGGCGACAAGTGCTCATCTGCGTTCGACGCAACTTGCAGATTTTGTGGGGAGACAAAGCCTCGCTGTTTGGAAAATGGGGAGGCATCGTCTTCCAATCTCTGGTTATTGGCAGTCTGTTCTACGACACTCCCAGTACATCTAGTGGTGTCTTTCTTCGAGGCGGAGTCATCTTTTTCCTGCTTCTCTTCAATCTGGCTCTGGCAGGCTCTGAGACGATGGCAGGCTTTGAGGGAAAGCCGATTATGCTAAAGCATAAAAGTCTTGCTTTCCATCGTCCTGCAGCTCTAGCAGTCGCCCAATTCCTGGTGGATATACCTATTATACTGGGACAGATACTGCTCTTCGAAGTTGTCATTTACTTCTTGACCGGCTTAGGGAGGACCGCCTCCCAATTCTTCCTCTCGGTGTTTTGCCTCTGGCTTACTACCTTGGTCATGTATGCACTGAATCGTGCTATTGCCGCGGTGTTCCAGTCCCAGGATATGGCCATGGGCTTTGCAGGAACCACCCTCCAGCTGCTCATATTGTACATCGGGTACATTATCCCACCGCAGAGCATGCACCCCTGGTTCAAGTGGATCACGTACGTCAATCCGCTTCAATATGCCTTCGAGATTTTGATTGCAAACGAATTTGCGCATCGCGACATTCCTTGCGTTCCTCCATCGCTGGCTCCTTACGGCCCGGGGGCCGTTCCTGGCTCGCAGGGTTGTGGAGTTGGCGGCAGTATCATAGGAGACACCATTGTCTCTGGACAGGCCTATGTTCATTCTCTCGGGTACTCCTATTCCCATGTGTGGAGAAACATCGGGATTCTCTGCGGCTTTTGCGCTTTCAATCTCTTGATGATGGTCATTGGGATGGAGACCTCGCGGCCAGCCATGGGCGGTGCTTCACTCAGGCTGTTCAAGAGAGGGCACCTTCCAGGCTCAAAGCAAGATGATCACTCGCAGCTCACTTCGACCGACGAGGAAAAACAAACATCTTCCGGGCAGGGTCCGATATCCGCTTCCTCAGCAATCGAAAATCCCATCTCCGAGCGAACAACTGGTGTTAACAACGCCTTCGCATTCCGCAACATTAATCTGACTGTGCGGACATCGGGCGGTCCCAAGCAACTCTTGAAATCTCTTGACGGCGTCGTCGGAGGCGGACGTCTGACTGCTCTCATGGGCTCCTCAGGAGCCGGTAGGTCCCTCTTGGTCGTATCCTTATGTCATCCACTAAGATGTGGTAGGCAAAACAACACTCTTGAATACGTTGGCACAGCGGAGCATCAAAGGTGGAAAACTTGAAGGGTCAGTGTGTCCGCTTGTCTCCATGTCTCTGAACAAGTGGTGCTAACTGGCAATAGGGAGATTCGCTTGAACGGCGAACCACTACTCAAATCTTTCAGAAGGAAGGTTGGCTACGCCGAGCAGATGGATCTTCACGAAGAGACGAGCACAGTACTGGAAGCAATCCGCTTCTCAGCGCTTTTGCGGCAGCCTGCGTGCATTCCCGTTACGGAGAAATATGCATACTGCGAACAAGTCATTGACATGCTTGAGCTCCATGGCGTTGCTCATGCCGTCATTGGAACTAATGATCGCGGCCTCAATCCAGAGACAAGGAAGATAGTAACTATCGCCGTGGAGCTCGCCGCGAAGCCGGAGACGCTATTCTTCCTAGATGAGCCGACTTCAGGGCTTGATTCGGCTGCTGCATTCAACGTCGTTAGAATGTTAAGGAAGCTCGCGGACTCCGGTCTGGCTATCTTATGCACAATACACCAGCCGTCATCCAACCTTCTCGGGCTGTTCGATGACCTGCTCTTGCTGGGAACCGGCGGGCGGTGCGTGTACAATGGCCCTCTAGGTCAGGACTGTCGTGAGATGATCGACTACTTCGAAGCGTTGGGCGCAGCCGAATGCAACTTAGGAGAGAACCCGGGTGAGTTGATAGTTTGAACATGCAAGAGGGTCATTTGCTGATACGCCGCGACTGATAGCCGAATACATGCTCACTACGATTGGTGCCGGCGATCCAAGCTACCGTGGTCCTGACTGGGCCGACAAGTGGGCATTATCAGACGCACGCAAACGTATGAGTGTTCGACTCGAGCATGCGATGCGGTCTTCGCCACCATCAGCACAGACGCCGACCGCTCCGCTTTCGGAAGATCTAACGTACTACGCTACGTCTCTTTTGACACAGACCCTTGCAGTCCTCAAGCGCGCCTTCGTAGCCCAGTGGCGGAAACCTGAATATGTATACGGGAAGATCATCATGCACGTGGTAGGTGGCCGTATCTGGCAATCAATGCCACCAAAGCTATCTGCTAATTCCTGCGTGAACAGTCGTGTGCTCTCTTTAACGGCTTTTCATTCTACAAGATTGGATATTCCAGCCTGGACATGCAATCTCGAATGTTTAGCATTTTTCTGGTGCTGGCCGTGGCGCCACCATTGATCCAACAGCTTCTGCCTCCATTCCTGCAATCACGGCGGATCTTCGAGTGCCGCGAGAACCAGTCTCAGATGTATTCCTGGCTTGCTTGGGTAATCGGGGCCATAATCACCGAGCTGCCACTCTCCATATTCGCGGGAACGCTATATTTTGTCTCCTGGGTAATTACGTCCTCACTCGACATCATGTACAAAGCTGACCCGTTTGACAGTGGTTCTGCAGCCTGGGCTTCTCGCAAAATGGGAACGCCGCATCAAGCTATATGTGGTTGATGATTCAGATCTACGAACTCTACTACATATCTTTCGGACAAATGTTCGCAGCCTTTGTGTCAAGCGAGATGCTTGCTTCACTGCTCAGCACCGCCTTCTTTCTCTTCATCCTGAGTTTCTGCGGAGCCTTTGTTCCAACCAACGCCATTCCATCCTTCTGGCGTTCCTGGATGGTCTGGATCGATCCATACCACTACATACTGGAGGGAATGCTGTCTGTCGCCGTTCACGACCTTCCCGTCATCTGCAAGCCCGATGAATTCTCCCGGTTCTACCCTCCGCCTGGGCAATCCTGCGAGAGCTACACTGCACCCTTCATAGCTGAAGTGGGTGGATACGTGCAGACTACCGCGCAGGGACTTTGTGAGATGTGCCAGTATTCTAGCGGAGACCAATATGCGGCCGGATCGAACATCTTCTACCATCATCGCTGGAGAGATGCGGGCATTGCTCTCGCCTTTGTGGCTTTCAACTTCTCCATCGTGCTGCTGGCCACGTGGCTGAGATTCGAGGGGGGGAGGATGATAGCCGGCGTCACCATGGGAAGGCTGAAACCGACGCCTTCTCCTTCACACACGCCGGATGAAGACGATGGACAATCGAGCCTGTCTGGAGGGCCTGCGACGGACAGTCAATTGGCTCCTCTCGACTTTGGCGATGAGGCGCTATTCGATGTCGAAGCTAACATTGCAAGAGCTTATTTCTGAGCCATATGCTGCGGGATCATGCTAACACAGCGGAGACGATCGATTGCTTGCGCTACGATATAGATTCACAGTTGATAGAACAGACAGTTGTTGATACGTGAGTCCAACATATCACGTGGTAGTGGTACACCTGCCACGTTTCTTGAATTGAAATCCTTCCTTGTTGCGTCGATGGAAGATTCACTAAGGTACTCGCTTCTCGGGGACGTGCCCGACCCTAGCAGCCTAGGATTTAAGCGCGGCTTGCGAACACGTGTGAACGACGTTTTATCCCGACGTTGAACCGGCACTCCAGATGGCGACATACCCCTGATCTAACCCTAACCCTAACCCTGGTCCTTGCGCACAGATGGTGGGGTGTGTGCGCAGTCTAGTATCTCTCCGCTGCACTTCAGCTACTCACGAACTATCCTTCTTTCTCTCGGCACCAAAGGTGGCGTTGGTTCGTCTACCCACACGCCTCACCCATTTGTATATCGAGCACGTATTCACGTAGCGGGGGGGCATGCTGATCTGTGCGAGCCGTCGGCACTGCGCGGTGCTTTCCGGCCATCAATAATGAATTCTGGGTGGCGACTGGTTCGCCCGACGAGAGAGTACGTACCTCGGGGTTCGGAAGCGCTATACTAAGATAAGATAGACGGAAGTCGGGCTGCTCGAAACGCAGCACCTGCGCACCGCCATTCCTCTGCCGAGCTCCGGTCGGCGGCTGCAGTAGTTGGTCACAATCCTTCGATAGGACTGAACTCGAGCAACCTCGATGGCGAGTGTTGGATGACGACGGATCGATCGATACCCTGCAAGCGAATTGATGACCATGGCCTTTATTTCCCAGGCTCCGGATAATGCATCAACTCGAGCGGACGCGATGACCTTTCTTCAACGCCTAGCCATCAATGTGAGAGACGAGCTTCCGCGAAGAACTCCCATTGTGTGTGTGTGTGTGTGTGTATCTTGCTAATCGTGCCTGCAGTTCCAAGTCTTGTCCTCTATTCAATTGCTCAGCGAATTTCAGGTACTGGCCTGCATCCCTCCCGACGAAGCCATCAGCTATGGCGATGTTGCCGAAATCGTGGGCCTGCCCGAAGCACAGTTGCGTGCGGTCGTCCGATTGACGGCGTCGGTGGGCTTCTTGCGCACACCCACGAACGACTCCATGGCCCACAATTCGCTGTCGTTCAAGTTTGTCAACGATCTGGGAGTTGTCGACGCATTCGGCTTCGCAGCCGAGACTCTGGCACCTTGTGCTCTGAGAATGGCAGAGGCCTGTCGTGGCGGGGACAATGCCTATCGTGTGGCGTTTGGAGCCAGTAGCGACTTCACAACGGACGTCCAGCACCGATGGCGCATGCAACGCCAAGCTGCTGCCCATTTTCGATTGGCGAAAGGCCCCAGCGACGAAGACGACCCGGAGTGTCACAACCTGCTGTCTCAATTGGACTGGGCGAGCCTGGCCGATGCCACGGTCGTCGACGTAAGTCATGATCATGTGCCTCCTCTAGGGAGCAAGACTCAACATTCCAGGCAGTGTCACTGACGCTATTGCATTAGGTCGGAGGCAAATCTCTAGATCGTGCTATCTCGCTAGCTTCGCACAGCCCTGCGGTGTCAATAATGGTCCAGAGTGACCAGGCCGCATCGCTGCCTCCTGTGCCCGCCGATCTTGCGTCCAGGATACATGTCCAAGCTTGTGACCCGAGCGGCGCGCAACACTTTGAGGACGCGAGCGTCTATGTTATGCAGCTTAAGTCGCCCACCCTCACTCATCCGGTTCGAGCCAAGCCGCTGGATACCATTGCGCGTCAGCTGGCCTCTCACCTACCCATTCTGCGCAAGAATCCGCTCACTCGAGTGGTTCTGCTGGCACGCGTGTTACCAGACGCTCAGGACACCCCATCTCAGGACAGTGGGAGCATTACGGATATCTCATCTCAGAGCTTGGCGTCGTACCGGAACCTGACCTTCTCTCAACTCACTGGTGGCCGCGATCACGAGAGACCTGATATTGTCGATATCGTGACGCGAACGAGGGACGGGGAGGGGGTCCTGGCGATTACAAACGAGATCCGGAGTTCGAAAGATGCGGGCTTGACCGCCTTTGAGATTCAGTATCATCGTCTGCCTCGAGATTCACCAGGTGTTCTACCTGTCTAGCACTAGAGTCCTTGCGCATGCACCATTTGCGGGGCTACATCCGGGTGGCATAGCGAAGTCGAGAAATGTTTCAGGTGCGCTCAGACTATGTATGGTATCTTCATATGCATCTAAGGTGGCGTGTCTCATTCTGTCTGCGATGCAGACAGAGTACGAGAAACATGCCGTCAGACGTTTCACAGCTGTCGCACGCATACACGGAAACATGTCTAGCGAGATTCATGCAATACAATATTTCGCGGATGTCGTCATGTCAGCTCAATGGAAGCCGAGCTGGCAGCTCGGGAGGAAGGCAAAGCATCGACCAAGCAGAAGGATTATTATGTTATAATATGAAACTAACTATGGACGCAGGATCTCGGCTTCCGCTTCTCCACTTTCCGCAGCGCTTTCCCGTTTCATGCACGGGACACGTGGTGCTAGTGTTTTGACAAAGATAGCCTCCTCGGTATGCAAGTGGAGCCTGACTATCAACGCTTAGGTTCCGTCGTGCAGTGGATTCAAGGCCATCCTACTTGGTCATCATCGATCACAACGAGAGCGATACTGGATCTGGAAGGCGATCCAACAGCTTGTTTGAAGTACTCTCACGGATGATGCCCCTGGCCCTCGTACTAAGCATACATGGGCTCGTTGGTGTGCGGTCTTCTCGGCCGCGTAGGAAGATGGACGCAGGAGGAAGAAGGATGTAGCGTCGTGTCGGGGCGAGCAGCTCGGAGGACGATGTTCTGCTCGCAAAGGCTACCGTTCGTCGGCGAGATTGGAATTGGGCTGCTTTGGCTTCACGAATAAAGATGTCGTCGCCTTGTGGACACGGACAGGGCCAATCGCTGCTCCCATTCCCAATCACCTCTGGCCACATCTGTCCATCATGCCGTCTGTCGAACAACTTCCCCAAAGCGGCATTACCGTGGAGAATGACACTACGCAGGACCTCTTGCAGTTCCTTCAGGACGACCTCCAGGGCTCGATGGATATTGACTGGACATCCGAAGATCTCTTCAAAGTCTTCGGTCCTAACATGTCGACCTCCTCGTCTGACTGGATGGACACATTATCGTGGGAGACCAGTCATCCCTTGCCACAAGACGCGGACTCGATTTTCGATAACATGGACATGGAACCCTCACAAGCCATTGCGCCAGTTGCCCGAATGGTGTCTACTCCCAGCCCATCAGACCTGAACAGCAGCGACTCGCACGAAACACAGCACCATTGTCTTGCTGCGGCTATGGAGTTCATGTTGTCACTCTTCCCACCCGGCCATTTGGATTGTAGCAGACCTCAGGCATTTGACGCCATATTAGAACGCAACCACCAAGCCATGGAGGGCCTGAATGCCATTCTCAACTGCGGCTGTCCCAAGGACGGCTATCTGACATCGATCCTCAGCCTCATCCTGCTCAAAGTCCTGGCGTGGTACGCAGCGGCAGCGACGGGCGCCAACTCATCATCGTCATCGTCGTCATCATCATCATCCTCAAATCAAAGATCTCGCCCGGGCAAGCGTTGCAGACTGGCAAGCGGCGAGGCCGTGCAGCGGGATGTATCCACCGCACATCGCGAGCACGGCAACCCGTGTTCAATGCGCAAGTCGGCCCAGGCAGTCATGGCAGATCTCCACAAAGTCCATCGTCTCTTGAAGAGCATCTACAGTCGCTTTGGTGAAATGCTGCTGCAACACGACCTCTCCGCGCTGTTCGGCGACGCCTTGAGCAGCAGCAGCAGCAATCACAATTACAATTCCACGACCGGTGCGCAGAAAGACTACACCACCGAGGCGAACGACTCGTGCGGCGGCGCGGAGCTGTCGCAGAACATGATCAAGGGGCTCGACGCCGAGATGCGCGGGAGATTTCGTGCGGTGTCCGATGCTACTATTGCGAGTCTGCGGTTAGCGTAGTTTATGTGGTGTCGTGTACGAATAGCAATTGCTGTGATATATGTCCCCAATGCCGATATTTCTATGATAATGAGGTGATATTGAAATGTCAACGTTTGAACTACCTCCTAAGTCAGACCTGAAGCAAGCGATCCGCTGGAGCATCTCCGGGCCCGGAGAAAAGGTTGTTCCGGCGCCGCGTCTGAGAAGGAGGTAGGACTCGCTCTCCAAACTCCGCTCTAACAGCAGTGCTAAGATCTGTAGTCGCTAACTATCCCTCGGAATTCCGATAACCTCGTTGCTGCTCGTTTCCTATCCGTACCAATCCGCCGTTCAAGAGCGCTCGCAACTACTGCTGGGAGAATGCTCTGCATAACGGGGGCGACTAGTACTGCTCCTAGACCTTAGCCAGTGTTCGCGAAGCGATGGTACTTGGCTATAGCAAGCTGGTTTTCGGTGGTCTCATCATCCCCGATACCAACGCCCCGTTGATTCAGTGCGGTCTCGACGCCTCGATGTTGATGGTGGGCAGTGCCGCTCGGCGTGGTAAGCAGCAGTGGAGCCGATTTGCTCACTGACGCCGGCATGACATTTACTAAGTTTTGAGAGTAACCGGGAAATACTGATAATATCGGAATATTTAGGGAAGAAGTTCTCGTTTAGATGAGGATGAGTACCTATCCGATGGGTTTGGAGTAGTCCTATCTAGAGCTTCGTAGTCAATTGCAATTGCATCTCACAATATCACGGCTGCTTTCGCTACTCACATGTAGATGTTGGTGTCGCGACATTGTGCTAGTACCCACGTTGAATACGGAATTTCCATTCGCAGCTGAAAGTCACCCGTGCTTAAGCGATGTACATTACAAAATCTCTCATTGTTCTAAGTTTCCCTGTTGTTGGCAAAGGTATCGACGAGCCATTCTGAGATGGACGAAAACATGGCATCCGTCTCACGTACCCGTACCTTTTCCACATCTGGATCCTTTTCGGGGAAGGCGTTAAAGGCATGCTTTTGGCCATGGACCTTATACCACTCGACCCCTGGAGCTTTCCAGCCGTTTTTGGTGGCGACCTTCTTGTCGGCGCTCGCAGCTGCAAGCTTGTCTGCCATGATTTCGTCCTCATGGCAGACCATGTCGTGCTCGGCCCCAATGAGTAGTATCTCCTGCGGGAGGCTCTCTCGCGAGGAGAAGTAAGTCGGACTGATCCGCACGTCTTTCAGGGATAGCTTCGATTTCTCAGCTGCGTCGAAGTAGAGACCGTATATGGTGTCGAGGCTGTCACCCACGAAATCCGGCACCGATGAGTCGGGGCGCGTGGCCATCTTGGTCTTGGCGTCTTCAGTCATATCCACGAGAGGATAGATAGCTGCCACGCCCCGAAGCTTGGGTCGTAGTTTTGGGTCTTGCGCCACGGCGAGTACAAGGTTACCTCCAGCTGAGCTGCCACATAGTACCACTTTTGACTTGTCGATAGGAAGTTCCGGATCGTCGATGATAGCGAGCGATTGTTCCATGACATCGTCGTAGGCGCCCGGGAATTTGCTCTGAGGAGACTTTCCGTAGTCGATGCTGACGACTATGCAATTGGCATGGTCTGCTATGTGCCTCGCCATAGGATCGTCGAAGGCCGGGGCGTTGACGATGAAGCCGCCTCCGTGCACACTGATTACCAGTGGCAAGATGGTCTGTCCTTGTTCGCTGTGGTTTGGTGGTGTGAAAATGCGGCAAGAATAGAGATTTGGCCGACAAGGGTAGCTTTTGATGCGATTCGGCTGTGTTTGAGGAGAGAGCCAGGCGGATCGCTTGACATGGAGAGAGGTGTTGGCGAAGGCCCTGATGCAGGCGAATTGTAGATATTCCAACATGCTGAACAACAAGACCTCCCCGCTGGCTCGAAGATATCACGTTGCGCTATGCTGAGGGATGCTGTTTGAAGTTGGAGGTCGCTTGCCTTGTTTGTTTTGTTTGCGGCTGAGCCTGACAGGCAAATGTACATCAGCTCTGTCCTGTCTCCACATTAGACCCGACGGGCTGCAGACCATGCTCCGGCCACGTGACCGCGTCTTTGGGCTAGCGCCCGCATCTAGTGCCAGCACTAGTCAAATTAGCGGATCCTCAGCCCCGCTTCCTATAACCTCATCAGCGTGCGCGGTTTTTCTGTTTGAATGATCTACTACATCGGACTCCGAGTCGACGTCAACAGGATCCGGGACCACGGAGCGTTGGATCTATAAAGACGATATCGTCTAGAATCACCTTCGCAAGGTCAGGCCAACCGAACGCGCGTCTATATTACGAGATTCGACACACAGCCTGAGGAAGGCGCGAGATTACAACACCGCCAAACAAAATATAAGGGCGATATCACAGCAACCGAGCGCGGCCTGCTCATGATTAGCGAGCTGTCTACAGCTTCGTCGCTTGACGCATCACTGTGGTGTCTTATAACTGATACATTGGTCTGTCTGTTGGCCTTCACGAGATCCAGTCCATCGGTTCTACTCATGCCTGCTGTGGAGGATGATTGTCTACCTCGCAGTCTATCTACCTATCATCCAGATGGGAGGTGCGTTGATGACGAGATATTAGGAATCGTCTTGGATCAGACAAACAGGGCACGGTTTTGCTGCGCCCATTCGTCAAGCGCCATGGCCGGCCTGCCCGTGTATCTCCTAATGTTGTCGATGCCCTCCAAGTGGTGAGGTCGAGGCACGGGCTCCTTATTGTCGCGTCCCTGTCTGTGAATAGTCCATTTGATAATGGACATTGGCACACCGGCACCCGCCATTCTCTTCGTCGCCTCTTCCGGGTCAAGCTCCTCTACCGACAAGTCCGGATTGCCTAACGCTCTCGCAACACTTTTCGCGACCTCCTTGTGACTCGCCATCTGGGGTCCATACAGGTACACGGCATGCTTTTCCGAGCCCCGGACCAGGATGTTACCACAGACCCGGCCCATATCTTCTGGCGTTATGCAGTCGATCTCAAAGTCGGTACCGTACATTTGCAAATGTCCAGCCAAGATACCTTTCTTCCATCTCAGAGAGTTCGTAACGAATCCTCCCGGCCGAATTGCGACGAAATTCTCCCTTCCGAAGACTTCTTCAAGACTAATCTCCACCTGCGCATGGACGTAGGCAATTGGGTCATCCTGTTGCACCTCGTGGGGGTCCTCGACCGTAAAGCTTCCCAGGAAAACGACAAACTCGATACCGGCGTCTTTCAGTGCCACGGCGGTCGATCGCATGTGGTCTTCGGATCCATGCGCGACGTAAATGAAAGCTCGCTTTGCTCCGGATTGATGGACAGCCGAGGAGACGGTGTCGGGCACTGTCAAATCCGCCTGAATTCTTTGATATTCGCCTTGACGTTCAGCTTCCTCGCTTAGGCCAGAGATAGATTTCTTGGGATCGCGCATAGCAAGAAAAACCTTTGCCCCTTGCTCTCGAGCGGTAATCGCCGCAATAGACGCTACGTTGCCCGTAGGACCGAAGACGATAACGTTGCTCGCCATTGTTTGGTATAGGTTGATCGTTCGAAATGTCAATTACAATCGTAGACTGGCTCTGCACGAGAGGAGATGCATCCCATAAAAGAAGTCTACCCTACCGACGCTCGCCAGATCGGACTCCGAATCTTCGGTCAAAGATTGCAAGACATCGCGTCGGAACCGACGGACTGGTTAGTCGGTGTCAATGGCTCGGATCAGTAAGTTCGCTATGACGGGATGACCTACGCCTAATCATTTTCTGCAGGCTTCAGGGCGGCCGGCGACTGACGCGCTGGACGAGTGACATCGTGATTCCTTCCCTACGAAGCTCGAGCGTTCGAATACCGCGAAAGATTCGGCCGAAAGCATCACGCACGACGTGGCCATGTATACACGGTAAGGCAACACACCAAAACAACACACCTCATTTGTAGTTTCAAAGATGTTGCAAGACTTTTCTAGAAGCCACATTTTATGCATCCATCTAGAACTCTACAGCTCTCGATCCACCCTACTACATCGAACCTGCGATCAATTATCGTTCTTATCGCCCCAGCAGAAGAATCATGCCCATAATCGACCCAGCAAGAGGGAACAATGCCCGAACAGCATTGAAGCGGCTCCATGAGTTCACAAGCTGCCTCAAATTCTCGCTTTTCCCCTCCTTGATCTCGTCCGCCCACTCACTTGCTGCAAAAAGTGCGTCGTTGACACCACGCATGAAGATCCAAGTGTATGGAATCATGCTGACGGTGATAGCACCCGAAACTGCGAATAAGCGCTCGCCAGATCTCCAAGCAGTCAAGATGTGGACTGTCCCCGTTGCGATAGCTATCAGGGGCCCCTGGATGTGTCCCTTGTAGAAGACAAGATTCCACTGGCGTAAGAGCTGTGTCGTCGATGTACTGCTATCTTGAATCACCGGGATTGTCAGGAGGAAGAGACTCATCATTGCTCCTGATCGTCCCGAAGTTAGATCTGTCAAGATAGAAGCGATGGAGATGCCGGTGTCCAACCGCTTACCTGACAGAAAGGTCCCGGCCATGACCGCCGCCGTTGCGGGAATGCAAATGCTGGTATCCCATGCCACCATGGTCGTCGTGTGAAGAAGCGTCTTGTGATGTCGAGAGAAACAAGCACGCTATCTGCGATGGGCTGGCATGAAGCTAATTATCCTGCGTTGCGTCCACACGTGATCGGGATGCAGCTGACGATCGGATTCCGCCGCCAGTTCATCGCAGGGCGAAGGAGTGCACCAGTCCGAGCTACAATGCCGAGTTACGAGATCTTCAGGCATATCAAAACCACTTTTCGTGTGTCTGAGAGACCTATGTTCACATGCACGGCTGTGCAATCTCCTGTTCTTTTCTATATTGAACCATCGTTATAATGTTGCGTGGCTGGGCTGCTATTGCTGGAATAACGGCGGTGCCCGCTGTGGGCATCTATGCCTCACTTCAACAGCAACAAATCTTATCCCCAGAGCCATCATCTCTCTTTACTTCATTTTCTTCGTCCATCTCCTCGACACTGGGTCTAAGCTCCACGACCGAGGATGAAGCATTCAAGGCGGAGTGGGACGGACGCATCCAGAGCGATGGCTTGTTAAGCTCGAAATTCGGGATGTACGGGTGGCCAAAGCAGTCTTTCGACTATGTTATCGTCGGCGGTGGCACTGCAGGACTCGCTATGGCGCGCAGACTAAGTGAAGATGGCTCAAACTCCGTGGCCGTAATCGAAGCCGGAGGATTCTACGAAATCGATGGCGGCAACGCGACAGAAGTTCCAATGTACCTCTTCAATTACTTCTTGGACAATGGATGGGTGAAGAATCCGCTCTTCGACTGGTATCAATACACGGTGCCACAGCCTGTAAGATCTTCTCGCGAGATGGAAGTTGTACGATGACTGAGTATACTTCAGGGGCTGGCGAACCGGTCAATGTTCTATATGTCCGGGAAAACACTTGGAGGAAGCTCTGCACGAGGGGCGATGCTGTATCATCGGTACGAATGCTTCTCCGGATGATTTTGAGCATTCAAGATGCTAACTTTAACTCGATACTAGCGGCTCGAAAGGTGCATATCAAAAATGGGCTGACCACGTTGGCGATCAGTCCTACACGTGGGATAAGTGGCTGCCATACTTTCAGAAGAGCGTGAAGTTCTCTGATCCAACTACGAACTCACGTCCCGCCAACGCGACCGCATACTTTGACGCAAGCGCATTTGCCGAGGGTGCTGGACCTGTGCATGTTGCCTATCCTCACTGGACCAATGCCATCTCCTCATGGGTCGATAAGACTTTCGAGGCCCTTGGCATTCCTCTGGCCGAAGGATTCTCGAACGGTAATCTTTTGGGCCGATCCTATATTACCGTATGTGTCGTGGCTCTCTCCATAGTTGTTGCTGACAGTACTTAGCATACAATTCACCCTCACACACGCCGCCGAGAGACTTCTTCCTCTTCATATCTCCGAGAAGCGCTATTGAAGAGCCAGAAGTTGAACATCTTCACCCGCACGATCGCCACCAAAGTGTTATTCGACGAATCGAAGAAGGCAACCGGAGTTTCGCTGAATACCGACGGATTTCAATGGAAGATCGCTGCGAACAAGGAGGTCATCGTGTCGGCCGGCGTTGTAAGTGTCAAGGGATCTCCGTACACAATCACCTGAGGTCTGACCATATGCGTAGATGCGGTCCCCGCAACTGTTGATGGCTTCCGGCGTTGGCCCAGAGAAGACGCTTGAGCCCTTGGGGATTGATGTTCTTGCCGATCGACCTGGTGTTGGTCAGAATATGTGGGTAAGTACACGAGTCCAATGCATTCGATTTCCCGTTATGGTGGCTAATACTGTAACACTAGGACACCATCATCTTAGGTCCCACTAGTCCAGTCGGCCTTCAGAGTCACAGCCAACTTCTTGGATCAAAGGAGACTCTCGGAAGGGCTATATATGAGTACAATACAAAGCGCAGCGGACTCCTCACAAATCCTGGCCAAGACTACTTTGCCTTCGAGAAACACCACCCAGGCATGCTGTCGGAGTCGACTGCAGAAGCCATTGAACAAGACTTCCCTGCGGATTGGCCCACTTTCTCTTACATTGCCCTGGATGACAGCTTCGTCCCGCAATGGAACGGTCAGAGCTACTTCAGCATGTCTGCCGTACCGCTCACCCCCTTCTCTCGAGGCACCGTAACGATCAACAGCTCCGATGTCTTACAGCATCCCGTTGTCGATCCCAAGTGGCTTGCCGACCCTCGAGACCGCGAGCTTGTCGTCGCAGCTTTCCGCCGTTGCCGCCAATTCGTCGAGTCAGCACCTCTGCGGGATATCATTACCGGCCCCGAGATTCTGCCCGGGACCAAGTATCAGTCCGACGAAGAGATCTACAACTACATTGCCGAGACGTCGGACGCTTTCTACGCAGGCGTGGGTACCTGTGCGATGGGGAAAATCGACGATCCCTTGAGCGTTGTAGACACCTCTGCACGCGTTATCGGGGTCCAGGGCCTGCGGGTGGTCGACGCTTCGGCGTTCCCCTTCAGTATTGATGGACAACCCATGGGGACTATCTGTGAGTGTGCCTCTTTCCAATGATGCGTTCGGGTCGCTGACAGGGCGTGCAGATGCTCTGGCGGAAAAGATTGCCGCAGAGATGCTTGCAGAGAGACAGACTTTGCATGAGAATGAGTTGTAGTCGAGGTTAGGAGGACTGGATAGACACAGCCGCCGGCACGCTGTCTGTCGTTGGTCTCTGCAGAATTTAAGCCCTGCTAAACAGGAGAGACAATTTTCGAACGAAGTCTAGATATGTTTATGTTCACAGCGATACATGCAGTGCATCGAGAGACACACTTCTATCTCGAAATCCTTGGAGCGAAGTCGCATGCAGCGGAACTATTAGCTGTGGTGGATGCTTATAGTCAAGGTTTCGCACACCCAATCTGCCCACTTCTTTGTTACTCTGCTTCGATCCACACTTATACGTAACGTGCAATATCGCGTCTTGTGTTCGTTAATTGACTGTGTTGATGACTTGCTGAGCAAGAACGAGAGAGGTATGCTGGCATGAGCCAGAACCATTAGATATGGCATGGGCGACTGACATCGACTATATATGTAAGTAAGCGTCCATTGTTGGCCTCTTGTACGGTATGCTAGGGTCTTCCAATCCCGAGATCCGAGCACAAGCTGTCGAAGAAACAGTCGTGCAGCCCGACAATCACCAAGCAACATCTGATCCATCTTCGTGCAGTAGAAAGTGTCCCGACGACTTTTCCTTCGTTGCCTCATCGATCTAGGAGTGCAGTTAGTAGAGCAACCTCATCGCACGTCTATCATAAGAAAGGCTTACTCGAGCGAAGACCCCCCTGACGCTGTCACTGACGGTCGTGGGAGCACTCTTGCGGCCCATCAGACGAGCTCCCTGGTCTCCCATATCGGTTTGCACATGTCTAAATACCCGATCATCAGTCAGGTCGTGCGTACTTGTGCGAAAGTGTCGAGGAACAGCTCACCCGGGATCAACGACGAAGGAGATGAGCCACTTGTTCTCGAAGTGAAACTTGCGCACAAGGTAGCAAGCCGCGAGCTTGCTCATACCGTACGCTCCCAGCGGAGCTCTGGCGCACTCCTCCATCTTCGTAATTGTGCTGATCGGAGCACCGATTAGGACAAAACGTGGATTGCCTGTTGCGGCCTTCTGGAGCAAGTCTTTCGTGGCATGGAACAGGCGAAGTACGGAGTAGGTGTTAACCTTCATGTGTTTCTCCAGCGCTTCGACAGTGATCGTTGACGTTGGACCATAGTCCGAGGCGATTGCAGCGTTGGCAATAACGACATCAATGCTTGTGACTCGATGCTCGCTGGTCAAGGCGTCGACTACGGCTGCTGGATCTTCTGATACTTCGCAATCGAGCTTCAGCACGATCAAACTGGTGCTCTCGGATGTGGGTAGCTCCGAAAGCGATGTGCTGGATTCATTATTTGGGTCGCGGACGCAAGCCACAACTAGGGAGTTCGGTCGAAGAAGAAGCTCTGCCACCATTCCTCTACCAAGACCTTTCCCAGAAGACCATCAGCACAGTTCTACACCGTTCCATACGAAGGAGAGCATAGTGAGCTCACTCACCTCTGTTGGCTCCGGTGACCAGGTAAGTCGTGGGTCCAGAGGCTGTCTTTTCAGGCTGAAAGCCATCGATGATTCCGTTGTTGGTACTGGCTGCTGGCATGTTGATGGTTAGTGATGAGCGGTTGTGAGATTGAATCAACTAAATCAGGTGCACGGCATCGTGGCGACTTAGATGGGCCGGACAGAATGTGCTCGGAAACGTGTTCACGTAATATCGGAATCCGATTGGGATCCGTCAGCTCCAGCGCTTGGAGTGCATCGCAACGAAGGATCGATTTTCCGCACGACAGGCACAGGCTAATGTCACGTCACAATATGGGCAATTTGGAACTTGAGGCCTCACTTCTGTAGAGTCTGTAAATTTGTAGTCATCGCTAGCACCTATTACGACATGGTGAGTGGCGGAGCTGGGAGTTAAAGAACCAGTTGTATATCGAATCTCATAGCACGCCCAAAATGATTCCATTTTCGATTTCCCATATGGCTTTCATATCTGAATAATACTAAAATTCTATATCATATCCCACTGTGCTTGTGTGGTCGCAAACCTGCTCGTACAATACGTTCACCCTGCCCAAGGGTCAGCACTGATTTTTAAGCTGTAGCATCCCGAACCTACTCTTTATGCGATGGATGAGTGAAGAATGTCGCCAAGCTCTCGAGGTAATCCAGTACCACCACGACGCCCATGTCAAACCCCTTGGCCATGGGGGCTGTGAGCTCAAGCGGTGGAGCGGCCTGTAAATCTAGCAGACCTTTGCGAGATCAGCCTCTGATGTAGTGATGGACTAGAGGAACGTACCTGGCACCTGTCCAACCATTCCCTGAGCCATGGTTTGCCATTGCCGTACTTTCGTGGGCTCAGCATCTTCCTTGAGCTTGAAAAGTGCTGTAGGTCGTAAGATTAGCTTTCATGGCATGTGTATCTTGTTGCTTCGATGAAAGACATGCCAACGTGGTATACAGGCATATTGTTAGGTGTGGTAGCTTCGTACACGGGCATCTGTTTGGAACGTATGCTCGTCTGCATTTGAAAGCCAGGCTACTCTCAGGAGCTCCGTCCTCCGAGATATGTAGACGGATTCCGATGTACGTAGCCCGAGATCGATGAATAAGCTCTTCTTGATGGTGTAGCCGAACAATTCGCGATGACCAGTCCTTCGCCGTCATGTTTGAAGGCAACGTGGGCATTATTACGCTCCTGAGAGTACTTGTGGCGAGGTCTCAACCGCTTGAAGTCCTCATGGGGTGCTTGAGCCTCAGAATAGATTTGACGACTGCGATTTGCTATACTGTGAATTGTTCTATAGTCATACAAGTCGCCGTAGCTCATCTCAAGATGTAGCGTCTGATAAGCTCAAGCACCAATTCGCTCCCTTCTCTATGTAACGACTTGACCAGACTCATCCGCACGAGGCTTAAGCTTAACCCAAAGTGGGCTCTTATACCACAGCACCCAGACCGGCTGTTCCAGAATCCAATCGCCCGTACCCATACGGGCATGATCGAGCTCCATATCAAACTTCCACAGGATCCGTGCGAGTATTAGCCTCATCTCTGCGTAAGCCAGCTGGCGACCAATGCAGTTCCGCGGACCAACGCTGAACGGATGCGACGCTGTCCGATTGTCGTCGGCGAATGCTGGATCTCCCAGCCATCGTTGAGGCAAGAATTCGCTAGGGCGTCGAAAGTTAAGGTCGCTACGGCACGCTGCGTAGTGTTGTAGTGCTACAGATGTGCCTCCCGGTATCCATTCGCCGGCGATTGAGGCTCCAGCGGGACGAACGAGTCGGTTGGCTTGCATTGCTACATACCGTCAGTGACCAGATTTGAATCGCTCATGTTTCTCGTCTGTACTTACGGACTGGAGGATATAGTCGCAACGCTTCATCTATAACAGCGAGCATATAATCCAGCTTTCCAACGCTCATGAGCGTGATCTCCTCCTCTTCATCAAAGCTGCTTCGTACGTGTTCGATCAGGCGCTGATATACGTCAGGATGCTTCATGAGCAGCCAAGTGCATCCACTCAACAACGTGGCGGATGTCTCGCTGCCAGCAACAACAATCGCACTAGCATTGCTAATGATCTCCGGCTTCGACATCAACGGCTTCTTCTCGTCACTACCGATCACGGCGTCCCAAAGGTCTCCACGGGCCCCACCAGCAGCTAATCGCTTGTTGACCTTTTCCTCGCTATACTGTGCGTTCTTCTTGCGCTTCTCCTGAAGCGTCCTGGGTAGGATCCATGGCAAGATCCAGAAGATACCCACTCGTCGTAAAGCATTGACGATCGGGATGGACTTTACATTGCCTTGGATGGAAGCAATCCAGTCGTGAGTCTTTGCGTTCTCAAGACAACCAAATGGCTCTCCGAAAGCGAGATCACCAATGATATCGAATGTAGTCCAGTTGTACCACTCGCAGATGTCGATTGCCGATGACGAGCATCGCTTGTCGAGCTTGTGCAGAAGCTGGTCGATGTGGCGCTGAATCAGCGGTTGCTTCGATTTGATGCCTTGATCAGAGAACCCATATGCCAATGCACGACGGTAGCGACGATGATGCTCATGATCTGCAGCTAGAATACCCGGTGCTGCTCCGTTGTGAAAAGGGGGCAGATGCATGGGGTCTTTCGGCATCTCTGGCGCTGACTGATATATAGGAGCCACGGCTTGCGAGTCGATGTAGGACAGTTCGTCCGGCGCCACTCGAACAACAGGGCCAAAACGATCATGTAGCTCTTGAAGATCTTTGACGATGGTGCCTCGGACCGTACTGCGAATCCATGGCAGGCGCGAAGCAGCCCAGAGTCGTGGACCAGGGAAACGGGCGAGTGGATGGACTAGCAGTCTATAACCAACTGTACTTATAGCTAGAAGTAGAACCTGGAAGATGTCAATCGATCGTGTCGCTGCCGCACGCTGCGATCACACTCACAGACAGCAGACCACCCAGGATCAATGATCCAGGAGTCAACCAACCCATCCTTGCAGTCAGATTTCACACCACTACAAAGCGACTGGATGGATGACTTCTGCAATCAAAGTAGCGGAGAACATAATGAAATTTCTCGGGCAACAATAAGGTGTTCCGTGTTGGAGCTTCATATAGAAAAGCGGAGCTCGGAGTCCGATCGAATCCTTCAAGAGAACACTCGGGCTGCACCGACGATATGCAGCGCTGTGGTCTAGAGGTCCGACCTTGGCATCATATCGAGTGATGCTGTCTTATGAGAGAGGTATTGACTGCTCAAGACCTGAGTCAATTTTGCCGCGAACACTGCATAATAAGATCTTCCCAGTCGACGCGAAAATTCGAAATGGAGCCATTGAACATCTCAGAAGTCGACCCTGCCTCCCTCAAGGACAAGCATGCCTTTATTACCGGAGGTGCTTCAGGTAGGCGCTCGAAGTGGCTCATCTAAACCAGATGGTATTTGCTCATTCAACGCATCGCAGGCATTGGCAAAGCCGTCGCAGAGTCCTGGGCCAAGGAGGGCGCTTTCGTGACCATTGCCGATATCCTCCCCGAGAGCGCCGGGAGCACAGTCGCTGCCAAACTTGGAGCCAATGTTCAATATGTGCTCTGCGACGTCACGGACTGGCAGAGTCAAGTCGCTGCTTTCAAGACCGCCATTCGTGGATCCCCGTCCCAGGCTCTGGACATCGTTGCGACATTCGCAGGCACCGCTTTTGCGGCAGGAAATCAAGTCGACCACGTCCTCGCTGCCGGAGAACCCAGCCTGGATGCTGAGCTTGCCACACCCGACACAAGGAATCTGGACGTGAACCTGCTCGGCGCCTATTACAGCTCTTGGCTGGCTCTTTATTACCTTCGTCTGAAGCCTGCCAACGGCGTACCGGCTCAGCAGCCTGCATCCAAGTCTTTGATCTTCGTTTCTTCCATTGCAGGCTACATGGACAGTCCCAAAGCCTGCACATACCCAGCCTCCAAGTTCGGTGTGCGTGGACTCTTCCGCTCCACCAGAGCCCGAACGCTCGACATCGGCGTGCGTTGCAACCTGCTCGCCCCGTGGTTTGTGGACACACCACTCATGGCCCCGGTGAAGAATGCAATGGCCTGCAGAGGCATGGATATGGCGAGGGTGCTTGGGTTCGCGAGTATCGAGAGTTGCGTCCAGACGGCGACGTACGCTGCGGCTACGAATATTCACGGGCGGGCCTTGGTGATTCAACCGGAGGGAACGTTCGATCTGAAGGACAATGTGGAAGACGGCTGGGCGGGAGATCAGCTTCGTCCGATCATGCAGCGTCGTCGTGAGGCGGGATTCAGTGTGTAACGATATGAGACAATGGTCGTCGGAAGGTGTCAACCAAATCGTATCCAGGAAATGGAAGCTCCCTGCCTCTTCGTCTCCGAATGAGAATCTCTCGAGGAACTGTGTGTGGAAGCTATTAGCTGTCGTAACGTCAAGACCTGAGGATCGTGAGTATGGCTTCGATAATGGTGCTCTGTATCATCTGCCGTAGACGTTGAAGATCGTCTAGCGTTCCCTGAACAGTCGCCAAACGACCGGAGAGAAACAGTGCGATATGGTCCATCTGCCAGCCCTTAAACTACAACTCGTCTCTAGCGAACTCGTCTGTCTATCATGGCTCGAAACTCATCACCCTCTCTAGTAAGCCTTTTGACCGAACTGCCCTTGCAACCACGGCACAACCACATCAACGACGGAAACGTTGAACACGGGCTCCGCCAGCCAACCCTTGCGGACCAACTCATCCGTCCACCAAGCAATAGTCCAACACTGCACGACAAAAGTCCACACATAGCCACCCCAAACCCCCACCTTCGAATCCTCCCCGATCCACCCATTCCGATATACCATGCTCTGGAACCAATCCTCCACGACAATCAAAACACACTGCCCGAAGAAATAATTCCCGTCGACCCGCAAGTCCGCCCCGGCGAGCAGCCGCCCGTACATGTGGATCACGCACGCAACGAGAAATACCCCGGCCACACGGCCATACTTTGCGAATGCCGACTTGCCCTGGGCGCCGCACACGTCGCGCACGAACCAGTTGGTCGGCGGCTCGGTCTGCAGTCGCAGGTTGTGATGCCAGGCGTGTGACCAGCACCGCCTGACGCTCCAGGCTTGCTTCCAGGAGCCGAAGATCGGGGGCCAGTCGGCGGGTGTGCCCCAGCCGAGGGAGACGCCGAGGATGCATGCGAGCTGGTATTGGAATTCCATGCGCCAGCGCGTCCATTGCCAGACGAAGGCGCCGAAGGCGATGGTGACGAGGACTCCGTAGTCGAGTGGGCCTCGGAGGAGTTGGTGCTCGGTTCTGCTCGCGAGGGGAGTCTTGCACAGGAGATAGCGTAGGAGGTCGAGGATGAGGAAGCGCCAGGCAGCCCCGTAGATCTGTTGACAGACGAAGATGCCCGCTCTGGGAGGCGCTTGGTGGTGGCGGTAGAGACTGCGGAGTTCGAACTTCCTAGACCATCACTTGCGTCAATCTTACGCGCATAGTCTTTTTGGATGATGAGTCGTCTGACGAGATGTAGAAGAAAACTCACCTCCCAATACCACGACCACAGAGCATCAGATCCAGCCCGTCTAAGAGTCTATCCCAGGCGCTCTGCGCCAGCGACACAGCCTGCTTGACCTTCTTCGCCGACTGACCGACCCGTCGGGACGAGTCGCGCCTCGCGCTCCTGGTGCTGCTATACTGCAGATCTCCAGGCGCCAGCACGAGCACATAATTCCAAAACTTCACCACGAGACCGGAGACGGCCATGCCGAAGATCCAAACTTCGCCCACGGGGCCCTCTACGCCGTCGAGCGCGATCTTGACCAGGAGCGCCAGACCGAGGAGCGAGACCGCCCAGTCGGTGAGTTTGCTGCGGAAGGCGAGGGCGAGGGTTCCGGCCGCGATGAAGGAGAGGACGGGCAGGATGGGCGGCGCCATTGTCGGTTTGAGTTGTGTTGTTTGGGGGGCGGGAAGAAGAAGAGTGTGAGCGTCAGATGCCACGAAGTGTTGACTGGGGCAAGTGGGAGCATTGAGTTCCCGAAGAGAATTAGAAATTGTATGTCGAGGAAAGAAGGCCGCTGATGCATGCTTGCAATACACACAAGTTGTCTTATCCGTTTTCTCCACCGATTGCGAAATGTCGCAGTCCGATGTCTATGTCCGATCACGGGCATTCTCAGGGGCAGGCGGTACCTGTTGTGGGAGCATCCCGACATTGCTCCATAGATAGTAACGGACAATGCGCGACTCGTGAGTGACTCTTGGCTCATCACAGAGAGAAATCGGTCATGCTTGCTTGCTGATGAGCGTTCACCTGCCGGAAATGTCTTGATGGGCAGTCGGGAGCTCTTATGGACATCACTCAACTGTTGTCGCTGCGTAAGGTGGTTTTCTTGTAGCGCTCGTGTAGCAAAGCCCGATCTAGCGCCATACAATTTGTTACTGTTTGAGGTAATAACCGAAATGCTTGCAGCCAGCCGGTCTCTGCTAGCTCCCGAGACTCCCGCAGTGCTCAAGTTCCGCAACAGTCAATCACCCAAAGCCATATCTCGTCCATATAATGCCGCGATTCTAGCTGAGAAGCAATTTTGCGCTTGAAGTTGATTCGGATCAAGCCATCCCTGGAATCAGTCCTCTTAACTGCTGGCTCCCAGTCATCCGCGTCACCTCTTCGATATAATCCTTGTTGATACTAAACGTTGTTCCGGTGACATTGGGAATCCATCGATCCACCAACTCCGACGGCCGTACGTCTTCGACGCTGATGCGCTCAGATAAGTACTTGCGATACTGGGGAACGCCGGGTCGCAGGACTACGGGAGAACGTCAGTATCTGTGTGCATGTTTTGTGTGGTTATCAGTGAAAGTGCAGAGGGGGTGAACGACTTACGCGTGGAATGGAAAGGAACATCAATGCCACGCAGTGGGATGGAAGCCTTGCCGCGCTGGAGCGCATCGCTGCTCGTAATAGTCTTCGCGGCAGCGGCCTCGACGACTATCACCTGCTTGAGTTGCGCCTTATCCACAGTGGGTAAGGCGCTGAATCGATCGAGCATCTGGCCCAGGACGAACAGCGTGCGGAAATGGCCGGCACAAACGTATTGCTGCGATTTGGCGTTGAAGTTGACAACTTCGAGCAGCTCCTTCATCTCGGAGGCTATGAGAGTCACGATCGTCTGCAGCGTGGATTCATTCAAACCTAGACCGAAGTCAGTGTTCTTGTAGCTTGTGGCAGCATCATTCGAGACTTACCATTACCCACTCTCGAAGGGTCGACGGCCATCATGGCATACTCAGTCCTACCCTGTCGGTCTCGTTGAAGCGCGTTCTGCATCTTCGATCCGCGGAAGAACAGCAACTCGAGAAGGTGCTCGAGTGGCATGAAAGATGTGCACGCACCCAAAGCTGCATATTCTCCCAGGGAATGTCCAGCAAAAGGTGCGTCTTCCTTAATCACACCAGTATGCCGGAGATGCTCGAATTCAGCCAACTCCATGAGTAGCCTATGTCTATCAGTCAGATATACGCTTTGGGGAGGTTCAATTCGGCTGAAGAGACTTACAACGCAGGCTGCGAGAACTGCGTACTGAACAGCAAACCTCTCTGCTCGAAAAAGGTATGTTCCAGGGACAAGGGCGTGACACCCGGCACCGCGCATTTACGTTCCGTCTCGCCGGTCATGGAGAGGAAGTTATTGCGAACAATCCTGCCCCTTTTCCCTCCAAACTTGACACGCAAGCGCTCCGGATTCTCGCGGACTATCTTCAGGATAGAGAAGCCGAACTTATCGTGGAGATGTTTGTCTCCCCGATCCCAGATCGCTTTGGCAACGGAGCTCTCCTCGTAAAGTTTCATGCCCATGCCTTGCTTCTGACTCCCCTGACCGCAGAAGACGTAGGCTGACGAGGGTTGTTCCACGAGAGCCTCGGCACTCAGGACTTTCTCTCCGGTTCGAGTATTGCGTACTTCAATGTCGATGACCATTGCTCCTCGCTCCATCGCCGAATGCTGAAATTCAATAGCAAGGTCATCGCCGGGGCGTACCATTCCTTCCCAGGTGACTTTCCAGCGCTGACAGCGTGACCGCGAGGTATCGCCAAGAGCATTTTGCACCTGTCATCTGTCAGTATATGCCTAGGGTCTAGAGCCTTTACACTTTTGCTAATAACATACCAAGCGCTTGACGATGGCTGATGTGTTCATTCCATGGACGACTGTGCCAGGCAGGCCTGCGAACCTGGCAAAGACGGGACAAACATGGATAGGGTTGAGATCGGTAGATGCGAGCGCATACGACCTGCTCTGGACAGGAGCATTGAAATGGATTGCATTCAGCCCGGTCCAGCCAGGCTGCTTCAATGCTTGGCGGGGCCATCTTTCACTCCCGTGGCGGTGTAGAAAGCTCATAACCACGTTGTCGGTCTCGTCGGTCGTCTTGAAGTCCACAGTTCCCACGCGGTCGAGTCGTTTGTTAGCATCCAGCGCGAATGCTTCCCCTCTCACCTGAAGCGCGTTTGCGTTTCCATTTGTGTTGATTGTACCTGTCCGGCGCACCAGTCTGAAAACGAGTGAATTTCCGTCGATGTCAGGGCAATCTGAGTCGAGATGTAGCCACTGACGGTCGAGTATCAAGGCTTTGCGCAGAGACGTGTCAGCGTGGAAAATCATTTCGGGTTCCTCTTCCTCTCTAAATTGTGTCAGGCTTTGCGTAGCAGATAGCCTGCGGAGGAAGAAGACGGTTTTCACCGTGACAACGGTGTCTCCTTCTCGTACGATATGGGCGCAAACCTCGACTTTTCTTCCTGACGCCGAGTCCGATAAAGTCGTGATGCGAGACGTTGTATGCACTACGTCGTCGACCATCAAAGGCTGTACGGACGGATGCTGCTCAATGTCGGCTGACTGATGCAGAAGATGAACAAAGTCACATTTCAGGTCTTCGTGCACCAGAGGCGAGATCAATGCCTCCCATGCGAATACAAGGCATATATCTAGTGGTATGGGCATGTCCGGCGTCCAGGTATTGACTCGCGATGACGCAGTGCGTCTGATGGTGGCCTCGAACTTGGCGACGACGTCGGTGGATAGGTGGACATGCTGTCGTTGATAAACGGAGAACAAGCCTGCGGGACGGGCAGGGGGGCAGGCACCGTGTGGAAGCCAGAGCTGGCGGTAGAGTTGTGTGAAGGCATCCAGGTGATGGCTGTCCTGCTGGTGTAGCCGTGCTCCTCCGTGATCGGTCTGGAGCGCGTAACGCAGGTCGATGGAGGCGTCGGCGTCTGTGTGGCTGAGGGGAGGAGTGAGCGTGACGACTACTGTTGGCGTTGCGGAGGAGTCTTCGAGTGCGATGCGCAGCGCGGGTTTGTTCTCTGGCCGATTATTCGCTTGGCAGGAGAGCAGTGTCACGGACTGAGTCTTGGCGGATCCTGAAGCGAGGCGCACCTCGACGATGTCGCCCGCAACGGGTGCAAAAGCGGCGCGGATCGGATTGTCTCGCCAGGAGTGTCCGGAAAAGATGCGGTCGGTGTCGAGGGCGGCCTGGAGCCATGGAGTGGTACCGGCGAGTGCGTGGCGGAAGTCATCAGGGGAGGGATGACGGCCGGAGGGGAGGAAGCGGTACGACAGCAGACGGTCGTGTTGGTGGATTTCCAGGCCGTTGCACGCTGTCAGCGCATGACCGATATCGATGTGCGTATCGTCATCGTGTCGTGGCGCGCCGATATCATGGTCAATACATGTATCCAATAACTCGTGTTCCGGGGAGAGTAGTTGCTGGGCGGCAGAAGCGAAGTAGCGGCTGATGGCGCCAAGGATGTCGGCCGCTGACTCATCGACCTCGGTAGAATGTCGGGCCGCGACGGGACCCTGCAGGACGAGCACACGCTGCACATCGCCGTCGACGACAGCCTCCACGTCCTCCGACTGCCACAGCGAGTCCTTCTTGTACCACGTCTCGAAGCGCTCGTCCAGCGCGGGCACAAACGGCACCGGCTTCTGCCCCCGGCGACGAAACAATGCCATCAGACGGAAGACGTCGTCCGGCCACAGCACGTGGTCGGCGGCAGGCCCCAGGTGCGCCGCGAAGGCCTGCGTGAGCGTGGACGTAGACGTGCTGGGCGCATGCGCTGCGTCCACCGTGATCCCATACCGCTCTTCCGCGACCTGCACGAAGTCGAGCACCAGCCGGCGATACGACGCGTCGATCCAGCGGCCCTGCGAGCGCACAAACAGAAGCTCGCACATGCGCGCCAGCACCTCGCGATACGTCATGTCCTCCACTGCCACCGCGCATCCCCGCCCGTCGACGGCGAACCACGGCTTGGCGGAGTCCGCATTGAGACGGGCGATGATGCGCTCGCGGTGCTGGACGAGATACGCAGCGCGCGCCGCCGAGTCGCGCAGGGAGAAGAGCGTCTCGTCCAGCTCCTTCCACAGCATCACTCCCCGCGTCGCGAGCACGTGCATCGGCTGGCCCATCTCCGACACAATCGTCACCACTCCTCCCGCCGGCTTGCTGTAGGAGTGCTGCCACTCCGCATCGCCGACGTCCGGTGTGTGCGAGATGAGCACTTTGGCCGCGCGCGAGGTGTGCGCCTCCTTGCACACCAGCATCCGGCTGCCAAGAAGCACTCCGTCGAACGGCATCCGACTGTAACCATACTCGACCGACCACTCGCCGCTCACGTATGGCCACGAATCCTCGCCGCCGCCAAACCCACTGCCTGCGATGAGGGTAACGTTCGGACAGGACCGGATCTGCGCGTACTTGGCCAGCATGACCTCGTGAAAATCCTCCAACGAGTGGTGGCCTCCCGCACGCCCGCCAGTCCATTGAAGGCCGATCGGGAAGGTGGGATAGGCTTTGGCAATCTCGACCACACGCTCCACCGCTGCCGCCGATCCGGGCTTGAAACTGATGTGCCGCAGACCCATCGTCTCCACCAAGTCGGCCACGACGTCGTCCGAAGGTATCCCCGCTCCCACCGTGATACCCGACACCGGTACGCCTTCTCGGATCAGGCGACGCAGACAGGAGACTTGCCAGGCAACGCTCTGTGGGTTGGCGTACAGAATATTGCACGTCACGCCACGGTATGGCGGCACTCGTGCAGCTACTTCACGCACGGCCTTCTCGAACTTGGCCTCGTTCGAGTACCCCCCTCCACCCAGCTCTGCGTGGAATCCTGCCTTCATGACCGCGACAACAAAGTCGGGGTGGACAGACGTCGGGACCATCCCAGCCACCATGACTGGAGAGCAGCAATTGAAGACTTTCATCATTTTCGTCTCAACCAATGCTCCCTGTGGCGAATGTGAGAGGCGCGGGCCATACGCCGAGGCCCAGTCGACGAGACTTGGGAGGGGCTCGTCCGAGTAGAAATTGGACCGAGTTGAAGAATGTGCTTCGGTCATGTTCACGACGCAGATGCCACTCGGACTGGCGGATTGCGATACTAAATCACCAACCCGACCCGGACCAAAGTCGAGAGCGTGGCTGACGTTCAATGCGTCGCAAGCTTCTGGCCATCTCACGCGGTCTATCATCACGGCCTCTGCTAATGATCGAATCAGAGCCTCCGCGCTGTGGCTCGGTACGCATGCTCCTGTCAGTGTATGCACGAGCGGCAGCGATAATTTGTGGTCCGTCAAGAATGACAACAAGCCCCAGTTCTCCACCACTCGGCGTGCTGCTGCTTTCAGATACGGAGTGTGGTACGGCGCCGAGATGGGGAGGAAGCGCATGGTAATGATGGGTTTCCGCTCGTTGAGCAAGACACGTGTCTGGTCCAGAGCCTCGCCTGCGCGCATCCGGTCCAAGAGGAGGCAAAGTTTCCAGAGCCCGCGCACCGGCCCTGAGACGACGTGCCGGGTGCGCGAGTTCTCTAGCGCATGGTAGAGTGGCCCATTTTGGTCCGTCATCTTGGTGTTCAGGTCCTGGATTATGGTACTCAGTCTTGCAGCCGTCAGGCCCGAGACACCCAACATGGGTGCAGGGTTCCCAAAACCGCGATCGATACTCTCCTGTAGCTCAGCGCCAGAGAGGCGAGAGGGTGGGTTGTCATGGTGTCCCTCCAACCCCGCTGCAAAAGAGAGCCTGAGCACAAACTCGCTCGCCTTCCAGAAACTGTCCCAATCATTGGACAAAACCACTGCAGCGGCGACGAAGATGCCTTGAGAGTGGCCCGTGATGGCGGTGAGGGCAGATGCAAATTCGCCTGGAGTGCACCGAAGCCGGTGACAGGCAATGGAGTATTGCAGAAGCCCAAGGACTGTGTTCAATGGGGAACTGATTGGCGCCAGAGCCAAATGCTCGTCTACCGGAGCAGATGTCGGTTCCGTGATCCAGCGCAGGAGATCGAAGCCAAAGTCATCATGAAAACCACTCTCGTGAGGAGTGCAGGCCAGCTCTTGCAGCGTTCGTGCCGCTCGCTCAAAGAATGTCTTGACCGGTTCCGCGCGGCCGTGTGTGCGCCACACTCCAGCGAGCTGTTCGATATTGTGTGGATTGTGAGGTCCCTGGCCGCCCCAGCAGGCCCCGAGACGTACCTTGCCGTCTCTCGCAGCCTCGAAGAGGGCGGATGTCTGAGGCGCCGAGGAACCCATCATCGGAGCCAAGCCAAAGGCGCAGACAGCTATCTGCTGTGAGAGCTATGTAATGAAGTTGCGCAAGATCAAGTCAATGGACTGCGTAGCAAGGGAAACACAAAGACGAATGATGGGCCGATGCTGTTGTCGGGAGGATTAATAGAGAAAGTGTGGTGGCCGTCGGCGTATCAATAGGCGCCTACACAACCCATTCAGGGACCGGAGCCTACTCATTCGACTGGAACCATCGGAATTCCGTGACAAGACCAGACTCGAACCCCATAGCCCCCCGTGAGGTGTGGCAACAATATCGGCATCCGAGCGTAACGTCTGCACCCTTGTCTCCGGAGACGAAAACTCATTCCAACGGGCACAACCGCTCCCATGACACCCTCGGAGCCCCATCCGGAGAGCTCGCACCAGCTTTTACTTCCGATCCACAAAAAGTGCTGTGAGCTTGAGGTGGTTTGAAAATCGAGTCACGTGACTATGCCCTCCAGATATTCTATAGCATCAGAACTGGCCCGACAGGGGCGCCGCGCACCCTGCGTGAGACTAACTAAACAGTGGTAAGCAGGGTGAGGATGCTCGGGTCTACAAAACCAACTGAACTGACGTGGCTTTCAGCCAAATATCGAAGCGCTCTAACAGTGGACAACGTCCCAGCATCTGTCCTTCAGCTGAAGCAGTGTCATGTGACAATAATGGTTCATGGACCACGTTATCCTCTACGCTATCTGACAGCTCTCGCGCAGTCACACAGAAAACTCAAGCGCCAAGACCCATAGCATACGCAATAACACAATCATCCTCATAGGCAAAACTCAGACTGATGCTACCCAACCCGGCCTCTTCAGCGGCCTTGAGCGCGTCTTCCGAAAGCTGCAGCGTGTGTTAGCCCAAACAACGGTACATTCAATCTTGGGAGGTATCGAGCTTACCGAGACGGCGGGCATCCCTCCTTCTGCAGTGACGATCTCGATGGACTTCATTGCCGCACCGGCGCCCTTACCGTGTGTGCGCAGGCACTTGAACACGGCTTCCTTGGCACACCAACGCCCGGCCAGCGCGGCAGCAGGATCGATGTGTGCGGCGGCCATGGTCTGTTCGTGCAGGGTGAAGTTCCGCTCGACAAAGACTCTGTTCTCGTGCGCCGTAAAGTTGGCCAGCTTAACGACGTCGACGCCGACGCTGCGCACATTGCGGGAGCGGTGGGGGTATCCCTGGCGTCGGCGGCCGTCACGACCGCGTTGGATTTCTTTGCCTACCACTTGCGGTACAGGCTTCGATTGCTGGACCGGTGGAATAATGCTGCGGGAGATGATGTTGTCGGCTCCGAGTCTCGCTGTTGGATCAAGGAGGATTGAATTCGTGTTCGACTTCTGGTACGGTTGCGAATCGAGAATACCGGCGATTCGGTCGGTCATCACGGCGTTGACATAGGCTCGCTCGGCTCGTTGTGAGCGGACGCCCGCTTGCTGCGTGTACTGCGAGTATGCATCATGCGAAAGTGTCGCAAACAAATACTTCGGGGACACGCCGATGACTTGACCGCCTTTCTGGCCGAATCCGAATGAGGTGAGTGTGAAAGCTCGGATTTTCGCCTGCACGGGGCTTGTCGGCAGGCAGATATGCTCGAAGTGTTGCCATGCGGCATCAATGTTGTCTGCGTTTCGGTTACCAGGCACCACGCCCGAGGCCATCGCTTGTAGGCAGCCATTAAGCATCCAAGCTGCGGCGGGCGCCTTGGGGTGGCCGGTGATGGACTTTTGGCAGACTGCCCACACTGGATGGCCTGGCTTGCGTCCGAGGTGATCGAATTCCGCACTCAGTACTTCGGGCTCGTTGATGTCATTCGCTTTGGTGGAAGTTCCGTGCATCGAGACCAAGTCGATTTCATCAATGCTTAAGCCCCAAGTCTCCAGAGCAGATCGAAATGGGGACGAAACGACCGATGGTTTGGCCGACGCAGGCCAACATGTCCTGTTGGGCAGTCGCTTACTCTCGAAAAATGCTCTCCCAGATGCGACCGAAGATCCATCAGGAGGCGTTAATGGAGTGCTGTACCCCGAACTTTCCGACAAGGAAGACCGACTCCCCTCCTCGTCTGATTCCGGACGCGAATCGACGTCTTTGCCTAGTCTTTCCTCAGGCCCTGTCTGACATTCTCGCGCGAAACTCAGGATGCCTCGACCGGGAGCTGGCACCGAGCGGCCAACTCCGTCCGAGGCCATCGCCGAGCCAGCTACGATACCGTAGATCGGCAGGCCCATCTGCAGAGCAAGATCGGCACGGCAGAGAATCTGCACGCCTCCTCCCAGCGATTCGACGAATCCCCCACGGCTTTCGGCTGCTGGTCGAGAGATCTCGGAAGGGAGACGGCCGGCTGCCAAGTGCTCTGCAGCATTTGCAGTCGCTTTGAGTGTCGAGAATCCAAACGCCTCATCTTGCTGCAAGTCGTCGACGCCACCAACAATGCACGCCTGAGTCTTGCCGGACATGATGGAATCGAAGCCCGTGTCGATCGATTCCACGCCAGTGGCACACGCGCCGACTGCGGTCTTGATGGGACCTGCTGATCCGAGGAGCAGCATATTGACCCAAGCTGCGGGAGTGTTGGCGTAGACATCTTGCAAAACATCGCCTTCGACATCCTTGCCTTGATAAACGTCCTTGTACAGGTTCTTGACTTTGATCGCTCCACCGATCGATGAGCCGAGGAAATTGCCCAGCTCGGAGAGGTGGATATGCTTGAAGAGCTCGAGTGGGTCGGGCAGACCGGCTGAGTAGAAGGCTTCTGCGACGCAGCACACGGCGAACAGTGCGGTTGGGTCGAGATTGCGCACAAGGTCGTTGGGCAGACCATACCTGCTGGCATCGAAGCCTGTTGGGAGAAGACCTGCTACTTTGCCCCAGTCGAAGACGGTCGACTTGGGGGCCATGATGGTCGCTCCGCGCTTCAACTGCACAGTACATCGGTCCGCATCCTGCGCAAGCGGCTGAACAGTGATGTTCTCTTTGTGTCGACGCTTCAGTGCTTCCGCAGCCGCGGCAGGCGCCTCGAACGGGGCCAGGTCATCTTGGAGGCTGATCTCTTCCAATATCTCCCGCAGAGTCGGGTCGTTCTCGTCATCACCCGAGGCTTCACCCTCCAGACTTCGAATGCCAATGTGAGCGCGGATGTACTCTCCATATCGCGCCTCGACCTCGTCTTCGTGAACAGGCTCTCTTGTCTTTGCGTCAACCCAGCCGACGTGCTGCTGCTGTCCTGCTTTCGCCGGCTCATGCACGTGGGTGATGAGGCCCATGAACCAGGCCGTCTCGATGAGAGCCGCCCGGCTGAGTTCTCCTGCACGTTCCCATTCCCAGCGCACACGAGAGCTACCAAACGGCCCGAGCTCGGAGAAGCCGACGATCACGACGGTATTGGCAGGATCTGGGATGCTGTCCCCGAAGCCCTGCTGCAAAGGCTGGATCTGGGTTTCGTAGTCGGGTACGGCTGGAAAATCGAGACGGATCGGACAGCGCTGGCGCACAGGAGTCCCGCGAGTAGTATCGTCTACAGACTCGATACTCTTTCCATCCTCGAGCTCACGTTCCACGGCGAGCGCTTTTGCCGTCTGCGCACGGGATCGAATCGCCTGGCGGCCTTCCGCAAGTACAGCATGGCAGTCTTCCAGTTGCCCAAGCCCGCCACTGTAGTCCACTAGCAGAGGATATTGTTCGCACGCTTCCCGAATGCTCTGTGTCATCAGCGTGGCTATGCTGAACGCTATCTCGGCGACTGAGAAGGTCAAGACTCCATGGTCTTCCATGATCGCTGCGAAGAGGTCATTACCTCCCGTCAGAGCCGTCGAGCGTGTCCAGCCGATCTTGACACCGCAGATGGAGAGTTCGTCACTCCAAGATTCCGACCGCACTCTATTCAGCAGGCTCTCAAGACCTAGTTTGGATTCGGAGTACATCCCATCGCCGCCGAGATTGCTGTGATTCGGGGAGAGCGGGAGAAGGACTTGCGTCGGGTTGTCATCTACACCTCTGGCTCTCTTATTCTTGATGATGCGCCCCAGTAGACGGAGCACGTTGGTCATCATCAAGCGGTGTACCAACTCGTTACTGCCGTCGAGGTCCGACAATTCCGCACCCTCCTCCGCCATAGCCGCGAAGGGAAGCATGGCGTCCAGATCCCGCCCCAGTCCGCCGGAGCTCTGCGGCGAGTAGATGTAATCTACGAGAGCATCGCAGTCACGGACGCTGGCCTGATTGAAAGGGAGAAGTAGAAGCTCAGACCCTTTGGCTCCTTCGACTTCGTAGATCCTCTGATAGTACTTTGCGGACTGGGACGGAGCGCGACTTGTCGTAACAATCACGCGAGCTCCGCCCCGAAGGAGAAGGCGGACGACTTCTGTGCCGATGGAGTTGGGTCCGGCGCCCGTGACCAGAACGTGCTTTCCAGAGAACGACATGCCCGACTTCAGCGCTTGTGCACAGATGTGAAACAGTTCCGATGTGAGGGTTTCGTCGAGTTGGGTGTTGCTCCTGCCGTGGACGTGAACCGAAGCGCTACTGTCGATTGCCTTGTGGGATGGTTCAAACGAGGAACGGAAGAGGAGGTCAGGGTATTCGACATTACGGTCCGTCTCGAGATGTTGAATCTCGCCTGCATAAGTAACTTGGACCCTGGGTCGCTGACAGCGCACAGAGGCTATCGCGGAAGCCTCCACGCTGTCCGAGTGCTGAGAAATTATGTGCTCTACCTCTCGCAACTGGCCGAGCACGTGCGGCGAAGAATCGAGCTTCTCGTACGCCTCTCTGCCCAAGCCGTTGGCAATGACCGCGAGTTCAGGATCGGCCTTATTTCTCATCCGATTGAGGAAATTTTGAAAGTCATTCGCGCCAAGCGGTTGCCGCGACTCAGTGGCCGAATGGTAGAACTCCAGGAGCTCTTGACGTGCAGATCTCCAGTACGCATCGAAGCGACGTGCCTTCTTCGGGTCATGCGAGGGCATGATTCCGCTCAAGAAGTCATCCGAGAATTCAGCAGTCCAGTGGTCGAGCTGAGACTGAAGGCTAGTTATGGACGCTTTTGTCTCCTCGGACGAGTGGCTGGCCCTCTCCGTCTCCAGAAACTCACTCAGAGCATCGTATTGCTTCTGAGCCAGGCGCTTGCTTGCTTTGACAGCTTCCGTCGACAGTGCCGGCACCAGAGCAACGGCCTGTGTCTGGACGGCGTCCTGTTGCGAGGGCTTGGGAGATAGATCCAGACCTGCCCACGCTGCGTACATGCTTGCAAGACCATCAAGGTAACTATGCACCGAAGCGACTGACATGAGCCTCCTCTCAGGTTCTGAAGCTAGGGCGTACAGAATGACAGAAGTCATGCGTCCCCGTGGCAAAGCCCAGTGGTCGCTCAGATATGATTGCAAATCCGCCATTCTGAAGCCAGATGGCATTTTGGAGCCGACCAACTTCTGCAGAGCTGCTGTCGTGGTCTTTCCCAATGGTGTTTCGGGGCGAATGCTGATCGCCTCGCCGAGGACCGAGAGGGAGAGATCTTCCGGTCTGTCCGGGAGAGAGCCGAATTCGTTGAGTAAGTCGCCGACCATTTCATTCTGCAGCGTTGAACGCCCATTGCAGAGTTCCCTGAGGGTCTTCGAGAGAGAAATCTCCGGCATGGGCAGTTTCAATTTGCGGGCCATCAGGGCGCGCAGGATGTCCGAGGGCGTTATGGAGGCATCTGCGATCTGCGTAGCGGCTGTTTGAGATCCGAGTGTAGGTACTGGAATGGCGGTAGGCGGCTTCGCAACTGGTCCCGGTGCTGGAATCTCCTTCGGAGGAAGTCCCGTGGTGCTGACATCCTTGGTCGCTTCTGCTGGTTCCAGCAGATCGATTCGGGCCTCGTATCGGTAGGCTATCTGGTCCGCATCGCTGGTCGAAGCGAGCGTCTCGACCGGTTCGCCTATCCGATGACCCGTCGCGACTTGTCTCTGGATCGTACTTCTCGCCAAGCCGAGCAGAGTCGATCCCGGGCCCAGCTCCACCAGTCGTTGCACAGCATTGGGCCCGTCGAGCAGTCGCTCTTGTGTCTTGATCCATTGCACCGGGAACGCAAACTGATGACTACGTTGAGCCGTCAGTGAGGGCTATGACTACGCGGACTTGAGGGGAGACGACGAACGCTAATAACTCTATGAGCAGCTCACGGGCGACGTGCTTGTCCTGGGCCGAGTCGTCGGTCTGAGGTCGAGCCATTTTCCTGTTCAGAGCTCGCCCTGTGTACTGGTAAGTTGGTGACAACCCATTCGCTTGTGAAGATGTCGAAGAGATGGCGTGACGATGCAGGAGAACGAATGTGCAGATGTTGTGGATAGGAAAGAAAGATACTTGGACACGAGAGGGCCACGTGGGTATGAAGATGGTCATTCATCTTCGCCATGTCGTCTGTCCGAATCTATGTTCTCGGAGTCGCACTATCCCGACCGAGGAAGGATTGCTGCTTGGTCGGAGTGGCTTCGGTGATGGAGTCCCGAACTGGAGAAGCTGACCTGAGGTCTCGTAGGATCAGCCCGATCACGTGAGCGGACTCAATGCACTTACCTGCGAAAGCAATCAGTACAGTAGGGCGATATTATACCGCTGTGGAATCTAATCGACCGGCTACACCTCCTTCGTTGTTTATCGTCGTCGTCGTCGCAAAACTGACTTGGAAAAGATTTTGACAAAATGTCGTTCACGAATCCCCTCACGGAGCTCCTGGGAATTCAACATCCCATTCTGCTTGCCAGCATGTATAAAGCGGGTGGGCCCGCTCTTGCTGCTGCAGTCAGTAATGCTGGTGCGCATACCATCATTTTGTTGTTCACATTACAACCTGGTAGTCTGACGCTTTGACAGGTGGTTTGGGAATGATAGGTGGATTGCACTACACACCACAGGGGCTTCGCGAAGTCATCTCCGAGTTGAAGGTAGGAGTGCCTCCGTGACGAATTTGAGCTGGAGTTGATGGAGTAGAATTTGGCTGACTGCTCTATTCAAGGAACGTCTGCGGGAGCCGACGTTGCCATTCGGGATTAATCTTCTGCTTCCCAAGGTGGGAGGGAATGCGAGAAAGACAAACGTGAGCTTCATCGCGTTTTGAACTTCCGCAACTATGGGTCTCGAGGGTAAGCTGACGGACAGTGATGTTCAGTATGATCTGACGGCAGGTACCCTCGACGAGTTGATCGAGATCGTCATCCAGAGCGGAGCCCGCCTGTTCGTCTCTTCCGTGGGTGTGCCACCACGTGCTGTGGTTGAGAGACTACACGCCAATGGGGTCCTGTACATGAACATGTGTGGACATCCCAAGCACGCCAAGAAGGCCTGTGAAGCAGGCGCCGACATCATCTGCGCTCAGGGCTCTGAGGCCGGCGGACATGTTTCCGAAATCCCTACCAGGTCAGTCATCCAATACTTCCTCCCCGACGAGTATCACTCTGACATCTTTCCGTTCCAACAGTGTTATGGTCCCGGCCTGCGCAGACCTGATCAAGGCCGAGCACTACATGTCGCCGCTGACAGGACGGCCCGTGGACTTGGTCGCAGCAGGCGGCATTTGCGACGGCCGTGGCATCGCTGCAGCTTTCATGTACGGGGCCTCGGCCGTGTGGATTGGGACGCGATTCGTCACCGCTGTGGAATCCACCGCAACGGAGGATGCGAAGCAGACGTACGTTCCCGGAGGCTAAGACGTCTTTTCGAAGGGAATCTCCCTAGCTGATGACACTTCGTTCCCTCCGTTCAGAATCCTCGATGCAACTTTCGACGACACCATCGCCACGACGGTCTTTACCGGCCGTCCTGCGCGGCTCTACGCATCAAAGTACATACGAGAGTGGGAGACTACCCGTTTCGCGGAACAGCAACGTCTCCTGGCCCAAGGCCACATTCCTCTGTACTGGGATCAAAAGCGCTACGAAGCCGAGGGCGGCATGCCCGCAGAAATCGAATGCCAGGCTGTATTCAAGTGAGTTGGATCCGACATTCTCGACTGGCTGAGCGAAATGCTGATTCGTACTTCCACTTTCATAGGCCAATGAGTATCGCGTCTGGGCTGATGCATCGCTCGGGTCAGACGGCGGCGGAGATTATTAATGAGATGATGACAGAGGCGTCGGAGCGACTTGAAGCGGCGAGCTCGAGTGTTAGTAGAGTCCGCACTCTCGGCTGTAACGGAGGGTAGTATAGACTCGTAGTAGAGCCGCCTATAGCCAAGAAAGAAAACATAGAGGGCTCGCCGCTACGAGCAGCTCGCTCTCGGTAAGCGAGAGAGATAATTAAAATAGCGTTTCGCTCTTAAATCCGCGCGGTTTATGTCCCGAGCTACGACGGGTGTCGAAGCCTATCTTAGCGGAACTAGGGGGCCGAGTAAATAGTTATTAAACAATTAGATAACTGTTTTAAAACGGAAATACATAATAGTATATAAATTAAGAAACTAGAATTTATTTTATACTATAATTAGTATAACAAAATTAATTAGATATCTTAAATTAATTACTAGTAGTAGTATTTATTATTATTAAATATATTAATATAATTTAGTTATCTATTTATAGATTAAGAATTTAGAAACTATTTATTTCTAAGTTAATTATTTAAGTCTAGCTAAGCTATTTACTCTCTATAATTATATAGTAGTAAAGGAAATAACTATAATCTAACTTTTCTATATAAAGATATTAAGCTATAATTAATATAGTAAGAAAGTAAAAGAAATTAGTAAATTATAAATAAAAGGGAATAAGAAAGTATACTAGTACTTAAGATATATTTATAAATATAGAAGGAATAGATCTTAAATAGAGATAAATTATATTTAGAAATCTTAGAAAAGTAATTCTAGGCTTTACTTACCTTAGTATTAAGTCTATAACTTAATAATC